TAGATATGAGTTTTGCTACTATCCAGCCTTATTAAAAACACAATATGACAAATAACATTTTCTATTTTGTGGAGGATGAGAGAGAATTCAGTAGCACAACACTTTTTGCTCAGATGTTGAGATCCTATGATCTTCCTATCTGGCCCACTTGGGTAGGTAGCCTAGTGTGCCACAGGTAGCCAACTCCTGGCCAACTGTGTTGTAAAATGGCCAAGCAACAGTGTTACTGGACAACCTAAAGTTTTTGTCATGACAATTATTATTGTTAGAGGTACATTATGCCTGGTCCCTGTCTTTGAATGCAGACCTGAACCTGCTACTGCATCTATCTCTCCTCCATGTCAGCAAGGAACGCAAGGAGCAACCACATCAACATGATATATTATGGTCAGGTAAAGGCGCCAGGCAAATTATGCAGCTGGGAGTTGGAACTCTTCATGATATATTGGCGTCACTGTTTTGCCTCAATATATGCACCTAATTTTATTATGTTTATAAGTATTTATTTGTAATTTTTATACTATTGTTTTTCCCTGCTATTATGGACTTTTTTGCCTGCTACAAAACTGGTGTCTCCCTAGTTGTTTGAGCTGTTACTTCAGGAATACCGAAGACGGACATATAGGAAATGACGCAATGACGGTATATGCGTCATGACGTCATAGGCGGAAGTACAATACGGAGGAACACCGGACGAGAAATTGAACTTCCGGATGATACATTTGAAAACACGCCGAGAGAAGTTCAATCTATGCACTTTGACAAAGACTGAAGGTCAAAACGCGTTAGTGCTCCTTTTTATGTTATTTCTTTTACCGCGGTTCTTTTATAGTTATCTGTTTTTATTTGAGTAAATATATTTTTTTATGCCTCAATTATCCTTGTTTGGCATCCATCTCTTATGCAGCCGGGACAGGACATCAGATACTACTGTGAGACCGTGTGTATAGCCTGAAAAAGCTGATTTTTCAAAAGTGATTACAGCTAGAGCCTGCTATCCTAGGCTCTATACATCGTGAGTGACCCATTACCTCTGTCATACACTATACTTGTATATATACAGTATTATGCTATGTATATATTTTTCAGATTAATTTCAAGACTCACAATCATAAAGGAGAGAGGAACAAGTCAATTCAAGAACTAACGGTTCACTTGCTACCCAATATTTCCGGCCCCTTGACAAGTTGCCATTTTAATGATATAATCAATATTATTCACTTCACCAGTCAGTGGTTTCATTGTTGTGGCTGGTCAGTGAATAGTGAAATTGATCCACTTTTTGATCACTGTTCACAATGTCTGAGACTCATACAAACACCCTTTCCAGGAAGGTATGTTCCCTTTTGACATTTGCAGATTTTTTTCTCTTTTCTTTCTAAGTCTTTTTTCTGTATCTTTATTTCTATTAACCAATTGATCTTCATGCCATCTATTATGCACATTATCCACAATTATATACTGAATCAATTGGAAATAATAATACTTTTATTGGAGTAAATAACAATGACAATGCTAATATGATGATTCCAGCGAAGTCCATCCATGTCTGTCTCCAGCTTTAAATCCTATCGGAAACCCAGTCGAAATCTTTAAATAGCTCCAGCTCTACATCAGATAGTGACTTAGACTTGTCTGGCGGTGTTAGAATAGGGACGCATGATGTGTAGATTGTATTAAAGTTGCGGATGTCGTCTGGTCCCTCGATGGATGGTATGCATGGCGGCCTGACACTCTTGAACAATAATGCGAACCAGTCTATTTGCTGTTAAAAATTAAAAAAGTTTAAGGGAAAAGGATGAGTAAGATAAGTAGTGTGTACTCTTATACAATCAGTAAACTAAGAATATAGAATAATAGATCTAAAAATAGTGGTGGCTGTGCTATAGAGACAAGTAGATGTTGGGTGTAATTTTCCTATGATCCCTGAATGCTTGCATATAAAATACATGAACTCCAGGAATATTGTGTATTTGGTTAAAAATCTTAACTAAAAGCTAATATTTATTTAGCTGCTAGAATGTGTCTTTCTATTTGACATACTTCAAAGAAAGGATGGCTCTTCAGATCCCAGGCACCATTCTCGCTGGCTCCTAGACGGTCTTCGGGATCTTTATTCAAAAGCTGTATAAGAAAATATTGAAAATTGTTATTTTAACTGAAAAAAAACCCTGAGAATTAAAGGCATTTTCTTGCAGGTTCTGTAAAACCTGCCTTTATGAGCTCAGGCTGTATACGTTAGTACAGAACTCAATAAAAAGAAGGCACCATATCACCATGGCATCGTGTTCTGGTGCCCGGACATAGCTCTGCCCTGATCAATGGCATTAGTCATGCTTATTTCATTCACGACATGGAATTTTAACTTGTTTTATTCTGTAACTAGATCCATGTGTTTGTGACCGCTTGTTACAATCTAACACACAGGACCAGCTGTGTTTCCAGACCCTTACAAATCAAATTGCCCGAGCCCACATTCACACACAATGGAATCGTTATAGCATGATAAGCCTTAAGAGTAGTACTGCTTAGAAGCAGGAACTTTAATCCTGGAGGGTCTAAGAATGAGCTTACTCAATCTATCTAAATTAGAAAGCACTATGTGTTGGCAACTTACACTTCTTAATATTGATCGCGCTTCTGCAGTCAGGAACCTCGGATAGTGCGGCGTTGAATGGACAATATTATACCTCACCTGTCTTGTATCACCTGGGAAGGGATACTAATAGAAAAACTACAGTTAGAAAAAGTGCAGGGTGGGCATGGGATCTACGCTGGGTAATGTCTCTAATGTAAATGGTCTGCCAAAGCAGAACCAATAAATATATTATAAAGAAACAAAGTATTATAGGGTTAAACTTAAACAAAGTGGACAGCACACTTGTGTGATATGAATCTATAAAATAAACATTCACCACAATAGTTAACATTCTAGTGGTGTGTGCAGATAAATAAATAAGGAAATGGGACACAGAGAGGGGAGGAAGGTCAACAAAGCACTGGAGCCAGTGTTCGTACAAGCCCTGTCAGGGAGAGCGGGGGAAGCAAGAGTGTTTGCTGAGAAAGTCACCCAACAATCGTCCAGACACCAGGTGAACCTGCAAGGCAGTTGACTCCAGGGGTATTTCCATCCCACATATGTTGAATTACCTGAGCCAGTTGTATACAGGCTCATTAAGTGTAATGCAACAATAACCTTATTTTTTATATTTATTTTGTGTTCAAACTGTATCGCACTATTTGGAGTATTTCCTCTTACAGAGACATTTGGGATATCATATACATGGTATATTCCTTATTTATTTACCCTTACACACCACCAGTGCTCAGTATTGTGCTAAATGTTTATTTCATAGATTGATATCACACAAGTGCGTTGTCCACTTCGTTTAGTTTTTATGTCTGAATATATTTGTAAAATTGACGGATTGTTTTCGCTGTGGAGATTAGCAGCACTTATCGTTACATCTGCACAGCACCTGTTTGTACCATACACCTGTTGTTTTTTCTATCGGGTTAAAATACAAGTATATTAAGTATAATGAGCTGTAGTGGTTATGGTGGTCAGGTTTCCCTTTTAACCCCAGCCAGTCTACAGTTTGAAATGCTATCACTATTATCAATGGACTGTTTGACATCACACAAAGGATTTTGGTTTCCAAACGAGGAATCCTACAAATTGGTAAAAATAAGCTATTCTTACCTTTCCACACAGCATTATATAAATAACTGCACCGAGACTCCACCAGTCAATAGATGTTGTATATGGTTTACCGCAAACCATTTCCGGTGCCATGTAATGCAGTGTGCCACAATACGTTCTGTCTTCATCTCCATATCCCATCCCTCAGAAAAAGAGAAAAGATAAATGTACATCGGTAAATATACAGATAGATGTTGCTGATATACAGCATATGTTATAAGTGATATTAGAATATTGCTGCAAGGAGTTGGTGCATTGCAGCTGCAGATTCTCTCTGTAATTTTGTATAAAGTTTTACATGGTGGTTACGAATCTGTGGCTGACAAGCAGCCAATCAGAGTGCTCTAATGAGACTGCAATGTGTGGGAAAGCCTTTATAAAGGCAATTCCCACTTTAAAGCTTCATACTGCACTAGCCCTCGCAGGACAAAGAAAGATTTATTTAAGTTGTCAGGTTTATCATTTTTTGGGCAGGTTTTTGCAATTGGGATTTTTAAGTGTTACATTGCAGGATGATGGATATTAATGTGGCTTTTTTGGGGCTGAAGATAACCTCCCATTGTTTAATTATTTAGAGCCCCCATCCAGAATGTGGTGGGGACATTAGGTTACCCCAGTATAAAATTAGTAGCCTTCCACCAACTGTCGACCTGCATTATTGATTTCTAGCCCCCCACCAAATGCCCACAGGTGGGGACACAGGGGACTTTGTGCTCCTAATTATTTACTATTGACATTGGTTGCCCAGTCGCTAGTTTTAACCGGTCCCTATGGCAGTTAAGGGAAGAGGGAGGTTTTAAATTTCCTTATAGTCATATGGCGATCTTACTGGTCCCCACAGGGATTTTATTTATATATTTTGGCCAAGTGCAACATAATTAACCCTTGCAGTTGCCAAGGCTTTAACTATTTGCCTGCTGGTTTCTATAACTGCCTGTGGGAAAGAAGTTTGAAAATTTTGGCCATTTGGAGTCTGAATGGCTCTGTATGCAGTCAGATGGTTTTGCCCCATTCAGTACAAAGCCAATCAGACTTTAGTGAATAACTGTTTTGTGTTTCATATATTCTTTTATTCGGTTTGCAGGTGGATGTTATTTGTTATCTGTAGGTAAAGTTAAATTGTGCAACTTTGTGAGAAATTACTTTTGTTTAATATAAAATAATTTGTACCTTGTTTACTAAGACCGAAGTCTGTAATTTTGGCGAATCCATCTATGTCTATGACAATGTTTGCCAGTTTGAGATCTCTGGATTTAAAATGCAGAAAAATCTTTTTTTATTTTTTCAATTTCACTAGAGGCACTTGAATTACATGGTTTTCTTTTTTTAGCCTTTTTAAAAATTAGATTTAAAGAATTAACTAATATAAGACAAAAATAGTTACTATGATAACATAAATAATCAATCAAACCACAGACACAGCATTTCGATAATAAATAACACAGATAATATTTATGGGGACACTATGTATGTATGTTCAACTTTATTTTTTCCTGTACACTTACCTGTGAACAATATCGTTTTGATGCAAGAATTCCAGGCCGAGCACACAACATGCCGCATAAAACCTGTAGAAAAGAGAATAAGTTAGTTTTATTTTAGGGAAGGAAATTAAGTTTTTGTACCATTGAATAGTTTGATTCCACCATCCTGTGTCAATCTATGCTCAGACATATTTCCTGCAACGTCTTGTATCTTCGGTATTAACAGTCCGCTTAATCTGTTTAGGATTTTTTTCAAATTTCTAGTCCACCTTAAAGGAACACTATAGGGTCAGGAACAAAAACCTGTATTCCTGACCCTATTGTGCTAAAACCACCATCTAGCCACCCATGTCTCCCTAAATATAGTAAAATCATACTTATATTCAAGTCTGCAGCTGCCTCTATCCCTATGCCCTTTCTGTGTCAGTTCATTGGATTTGTTCTGGAGTTGCTCCCTGTGTCCTGCTCCTGGAGATCCTGTGTCCAGAAGGTCAGAGACCCAGAGGCCTCCAGTATCCTCATATTAAATTTCTCTTTTCTCTTGTTTTGCATTTGTAATCCACTTGTTTTCGTGTAGCTAACATACTTGTTATCTTTCCCTTATTGTTTTGTATTTATATAGGTATTAATTTCCTACTTACGGTGATTGCTGCTGCAGTCAGCACCCTTTACCGACCAAACCCCGACAATCCGTTTCCATAATCTCAAAACTATTGTTACTTACACAGCTCTAGTTGTAGAAAATGGCTGAAAGTTGTTGTTCCTAATATGGGTCATTAAGTCCCCACCAGCGGCATACTCCATTAAAAAACAGAAATGACCCTGAGTCTGGAAACTTGCCAACATGTTAACAAGGAATGGATGTTGTACTTCGCTCACAGTCTGTAGGATTTCCTTTTCACATATAAGTCTTGGAAATAAAAAAGGAATAATTCAATTAATCACCTTTTATTTTAATTCTTTTTTTTTTTTGCTGTGCAAATAATAACATTCATACTTGTAGTGCCACGACAACATTTACAAGCCTAGTAATAAGAAATTGTATAAAGCGTCAGCATGGCATGTAGAGTAAATGTACATTTTTAGAATATAGTAATGATAAGCTGGAGAGTCATGTCTGGGTATATATTAAGATAGAGGTTTGCTAACGAGTAGCTTTTCCAGACACGGTGACAACTGATGAAGTAACATGGGGTAAGAATGCTAAATCACATGCTAAGCCATTACCCTGAGGAGTACCACTGCATCTAAAAGCTCTACCAGAGTCTCTCATCTACGCAACATAAATGATACGAAATAAAAGATAAAAGAAAAAAAATGTAAGACTAAGGTAAAGTCAATGATAACCCTTTTTGACTGAAAAGCTGAACGCAGAATGGAAGTTGGAGTCCTTCAGGAAACCCAGCAAAGCTCATACAGGAGGTGTTATGGCTATATGCTGTAGTGAGTCACATGTTTAGCCAATTCTCAGTCTCTAAATATGAAGAATAGCTGTAATTGAACGGTGAGGCAAGACACCTCCATAGCCCCAGGCCTTTGTGTAGGCCTGCATCCCTGATCCACAGACTTGAGAACTGACAAAGTCGAAGTTCTTCCCATCTAAGGTACAGTTGAGGAGTGGTATGGTTTGTCGCTGATTGCTGGTGTGGTTCATGCAAGGTGAGGAAGCCCTTAGTGACCTTCAGCACAGGGGGATCGTGGAAACGAGGAGCAGTTGCTTTCAGTTAAGTAATGCCCACAGGGGTCCTGCCACCATCTCTCACACTGCTGTACGATTCCAGACTGGTGACAGGTAGCGCAGTGGAGACCACCCCCTCCCCCCCGGCCCAAGGGGGACACTGTAGGTCTCAGCAAGAGAGTTGTGCTTCACAGGACAGAAGATTGGCTGCCTCTCCTGCCCAGTGCCTTCACTAAGCCTGGTCGGCTCCGCCCTAGAGACATTGGCACCTCTAGAAACCGGACTGTTCCATTCAGGGTTAGCAACTGGTAGGGCACTGAATGTGTTGATTGAGAATGCAATTTGCCTCAAGAATAAGCTTAAACTAGGAGCTATACAAATAGAAAAATCTCAGGCACTCACTGCGAATTGTTTGCAGGCAGATTTATTGCAACGTTTCAACCTGTTAAGCTTGATAAAGACCTTAACAGGTCAAAATGTTGCAATAAATCTGCCTGCAAACAATTCGCAGTGAGTGCCTGATATTTTTCTGTTTGTATATATTACTTGGGTTTTTTTGCTGACCCATGCTCAGTAGCACCCTGGGCTGAATTGCTGTAGCTGAGTGCGACCCTACCCCTTTTTCTCTATTAAACTAGGAGCTATGTGAGGAGCACTGTGTAGCGGAGATGCAATATTGCACAGGTTATCTCCGCTTATAATCCAAGTGAGGCTCAGGAACAAGTAAATAGTAAATCCACAGGCAAGGTTTCCAGCATGTAAAATAACAGCAATATCCCAACAGCAATCCCAATAACTGGACGACACACAGTTTCAGGAGCAGAACTGCAATCTTTTAATCCACACTGTCCTTTTAAAGCATGCTCCCATGCAAGGGAGGGATTTACAATCATTAGTACAGTAGCCAATCCTGTCCTGGTAACCTCCCACACATCTCCTCCCCTCAGCCTGCATCATAATCCCCTTATCCAGTCTAGCAATTCCCCCGTTTCTGGATGTACCCCTAAACATAGGGGTACCCCTTTAAATCCTACATCCCCTGATAGCCCTGATCTGGGTGAACAACATATCCAAAAATCACTCAGATCAGACCAGGGGTTCGGGAAATGTATGGAGGGAATAAAATGACCGACCGCACTGACTGAGACAGCCGAATGCGGTTCTATGCGAATGGGCCCTGCGGTCGGTCCTGGAATAAGGGAACAAACTGTACGAAAGCCTCTAGCTATAGAGGCTAGGGAGGGTTCGCCTGAATCCCCTCGTTCGGTTCTTCCTGTCTACCGAACGAGGGGCCGTTCGGTAGTTAGGAACCGAACGGACCGGGCTTGTGGAGGTTTCAGCGGTGTTCGCCTAGTCGAGTGTCCGATTTGAGTTCCAGACACTCGACGGCAAAACACCGCTGTTCGGGAGTTTTAAAATGGCCGCCGCCACGTGTTCGTTTGTCGAATGGCGGCCACCCCCGAGAACAAAGGACGGCTACCTAACTTGTCAATTACCCGTTTGCAACAATGTTGCAACGGGTAATTGAGGACACACTTCACATAGAGGAGGTCTGATTGTTCGGTAGTTTCATTCCCTTAGTCTATTCGAATGATTCTACCGAACAATCAGAGGAATACAATTCTTTTATACACATACAAAAACCCAGCAATTTACACGAATGCAGCTATTCACAAGACATTTGCAGGACAGCCCAGTGCCATCCGCTACACACTGTCAAGATGCAAATAAAAACATAGAATGTGAAGGCAGACAAGAACCATTCGGCCCATCTAGTCTGCCCAATTTTCTAAATACTTTCATTAGTGCCTATCCCATGTACGCTTAAACTCCTTCACTGTGTTAACCTCTACCACCTCAGCTGGAAGGCTATTCCATGCATCCACTACCCTCTCAGTAAAATAATACTTTCTGATATTATTTTTAAACCTTTGTCCCTCTAATTTAAGACTATGTCCTCTTGTTATGCTAGTTTTTTTTTCTTTTAAATGGCAACCAGCTGCCATGAGGCTCAGGCCTTGCCCCCAATTAATCACTTTAATAAAGATAACTCTTTGGCACAAATAAAAACTGACAAATAGTATCACCATCCAAAAAAACTAATAAAAAAAATCAGTACTCTCCATTTACCGACCTTGGTACTCTTATAGTTCCAGTTATGTCTTGTTTTTTCTGGGCTTTTAAAGCAAATTTGATATTTGTACGCTTGTCCTCAACAAGTAGAACCTGAAATGTAAAATACATATATATATTGTGACCTAGCATTTATCTAGACGCCTTTTATATTGAAAGTGGAATTTACCCCAAAGCCCACCTTTCCAAATGCTCCTCTTCCCAGCACACAGAGACAATCAAAATCCTGAATGCTCAGCCGAGCTCCTTGCTGAATACTGCAAAGAAAAGAACACAATTTTAAATATATTTAAAATTACATACAGTCCCCTCCCTCATGAAAAAACAAAGACCCAAAACAAAATGCTCCTATAACACATAGTATACGTTAACAGCATTGATGAGAAAGATGAATATCTCAATACCCAGCTGATGATGATGGCTTTTCGACATCTGCTTCTGCCAATGGAACAGTGTCACAAACTAAACCCTTTGGTGGTTCAATGGTTTCTTCTACAATGTTATCAACATCAATAACTGCATCTTTCTCATTTGGTGTTTGGATGTTGTTTTCCATATCAGTAGCAGCAGCTGGTGGTGATGATTCCACTTTCTCATTGTCCACTGCTGGCACTTGAGGCGTGTCAATAACTACAGCCTCCTCTGGAGCTGGTTGGATTATCTTTTCCATATCTTTGACAGCTGGCCGCAATGGCTCCACGCTCTCAGAGTCCTCTACTGGTAGTGAATGAGCATTAATAGCTGCATCCTCCTCTGGAGGTGGTTGGATTGTCTTTTCTGTAATTTCATTGACAGCTGGCATACATGGCTCCACGCTGTCCGTGTCCTTTACTGGCAATGGTGTAGTGTCAGTAACTAAATCCTCTTCTACAGCTGGTTGGATTGTCATTTCTAGCAAGCTTACAATAGCTTGTGGTGATGGTTCCATGCTCGCAGAGTCCTCTACTGGCAGTGGAGCATTGTCAATAATTCTAGCTTCCTCTGGAAGTGGTTGGATGATTTCTGCAGCGATGGCGTTGATAGCTGGCGGTGATGACTCCACAATCTCTGGGTCCACTACTGGTACATTGTCAATTTTTGTAGCTTCCACTAGAGGTTGTTGGAAGGTCTCTTCTGTAATGGTACAAGCATCGGGTGTTAATGGGTGCATGCTCTCAGTGGCTACTAGCAATATAGGAGAGTCGGTAACCACATCCTCTTCTGGAGCTGGTTGGATGGTCTTTTCTGTTTCAGGATCTAAAGTCGGCGCCGATGACTCCACGCTCTCAGTGTCCGATACAGACAGCGAGTGAGCATCAATAGCTGCATTCTCCAGTGGAGCTGGTTCGGTGGTCTCTTCTATAAAAGTAGCACAGAACATAACTTTAGTATTGTATATGATACACAGAGATCAATAATGGATGAATTGCTTTCATCATAATCCAAAAACTCTAACGTAAAAGCAAAACAAAAAAACAAGGAACACAATCTCCAAGCCTAGAACTTTATTTGAATGTATTAATTGTGAGTTATGGCTTATAATATTACAGTAGCCAATAATGCCAATGCCTTTAGTGTTTAATGGGACTGGCATCCAGGGAAAATGATGAGCTTCAGGTAGGTATAAGTAATTTAATCTGTGTATACTGTATATGTTATAAGATGTACCTCCTGCAGTATGGTTGTTAGAATGGATGTATATGTATCATTCTCTCTACCTGTAAGATAATGGAACGTGAAATCCCACACTGGTTACTGAGTGCATTCACACTGCTTGACAAGCTTGACGTTTTCTATCACACTGGGGGCTAGTACTGGGGTACAAGGCTTCATCGCTTGTCATTAACCAAATAATAATCATTTCTGCCTGATAGATGCCTTTAAAGGCCCATGGGCAGTTTGCTATTTAATGCGAGGCATGTTAAACATACACTTACCTTGTTTTGTGGAGATTAATTTCCTAATTGTTTGAAGCTTTGGCCTTTTCTGGATGAAAGGACTGGAAAACGTCACCTATTCCAAAACAAGGAGAAAGAGTTAACTGCAGGAAGTAAATGGTAATATCTTATTTTGCCAAACCAACATATAAACAGACACACAAATGGAAAAGTAAACCGCTTCAAATCTGTTCTTCTACAGGTAATCGCAATAAGCAAAGCCCTTCATTTAGATAAATAGTTTAAAACATAATATAGTGTCCTTTAAGGCTAAAAATCCAAGGTACTACTATTGCTGACTTAAGGAATGCTTTCAAATCGCCTATTGTTACCTAAGTTGTGCATTTCAGTTTACACTTCAGTACAGTTTGATTTATATTTATACACTTATTCACCAAGTGTGAACATTCACCAGCTTTCAATTGTAAAGTTGTGTAATGTAATCATTCTTTTGTTTTCTGTATTATTACATTAAAATATAACTATAAATTGATAGTGGCCAGAGATTGGTTCTCACCTTGATGAAAAGGGTGCCCTGTGGTTCCAGTTGTAGGCACAGTTTCTGTTTCGGGTTCAACAGGAATTCTTCCAACTTCAGAGTCTTTGTGGCACACAGTGATCGCTGATCATGCCAATATAAGGATATTTCTAGCTCCCGAGACTATGTAAAAATTAAATGAGCAATAGTTATTTAAACAAAAAAGTTTTGGACCAATCATGTTTTCGTAAGGAACAATTTCCACACATTTAAACCACATTTTATAATTTTCACATTAAAAGAACAAAATTGTTTTTCATCAGTATATAGAGGTTAGTAAATGAAAAGATATAAATTTGTTTAAAGTGTTATATTCTTTGCCCTATTACTAGCCATGCTACTAGTCTTCCATGTGTGGGCTTGAGCAGGACTTGCTCACTTTGAGAGATTAATCGCAGTTCATACCAGGTCAGGTGTACAGAGCATTAAAGGACCACTCTAGGCACCCAGACCACTTCAGCTTAATGAAGTGGTCTGGGTGCCAGGTCCTTCTAGGGTTAACCCATGTTTTTATAAACATAGCAGTTTCAGAGAAACTGCTATGTTTATGAATGGGTTAAGCCTTCCCTCTAATCCTCTAGTGGCTGTCTCATTGACAGCCACTAGAGGCGCTTGCGTGCTTCTCACTGTGATTTTCACAGTGAGAGCACGCCAGCGTCCATAGGAAAGCATTATGAATGCTTTCCTATGTGACCGGCTGAATGCGCGCGCAGCTCTTGCCGCGCGTGCGCATTCAGCCGACGGGGAGGAGAGAAGGAGGATCGGAGGAGGAGAGCTCTCCGTCCAGCGCTGGAAAAAGGTACGTTTTTAACCCTTTCCCCTTTCCCCCTTCCAGAGCCGGGCGGGAGGGGGTCCCTGAGGGTGGGGGCACCCTCAGGGCACTATAGTGCCAGGAAAACGAGTATGTTTTCCTGGCACTATAGTGGTCCTTTAAGCAGACCCAGACGTGGTGAGTATGTAAACATAAAATCAGTTTGCACCTATACATTTTCTATCCACATGGCAAGCTTGTGTATTGGGGGAAATAAGTAATTAAACTATGTGGTGGCAAATATTTTCTAAAATATGCACTATATCACAGATTGTTTAAAAAATCCTATAACAATATCTAGAGAAAGATAAACTAACCCAATGTTAAATAACTAAATTTTAACTGTCTGACACATTAAGGTCCTAAAAGGTTTAGAAATAAGAGTTAGACAACTATTTACAGGGTTTGAAGATTTATAAATGATTAATTCTACCTGGGGCCACAAATGGATTAAAACTAAAACAAAATAAAAAAAATAATACACGCATGCCGTATGTACCTTATCTAAATCCAGTTTAAATGTCTTATTCCAGGATGGGTTAGAAACAGTTTTCCAACTTGTTGAACCCACTGGAATATGATCGATCTTCAGCTGAGTACGGACTTCACCTGTAAGGAAATTTCAGGAACTCAACTTAAAAGGCTGAGAGTATTTTAATTTAAAGAACATTTCTACGTGGCTTTGGTCAATACACAGACGATATACCATTTATATGCAGATGACACGCAAATCTACCTGTCCTCCCCTGATCTCTCTCCGCCCACCTTGACTCGTGTTTCTAACTGCCTCTCTGTTATTTCCAACTGGATGGCTGCTCACTTCCTTAAACTCAACCTGTCCAAAACAGAACTTCTAGTTTTTCCTCCCTCAAGTGCTGCTACTCCTGTGTCTGTCGCCATCCAAGTCAACGGCGCTACTATCACCTCTACCTCCCAGGCTCGCTGCCTAGGAGTTCTTTTTGATTCTGATCTCTCTTTTACTCCCCATGTTCAATCGATAGCCAAATCCTGTCGCTTCCAACTCAAGAACATAGCGCGCATCCGCCCATATCTAACGCCGGACGCGGCTAAGGTACTGGTTCATGCTGTTGTTCTCTCTCGCCTTGACTATTGCAATCCCCTTCTCACCGGTCTTACATGTTCCCAGCTTGCACCGCTGCAATCTATAATGAATACGGCTGCGAGGCTTATTTTCCTGTCCGGTCGCACCTCCCACGCCTCCACGCTCTGTCAGTCCCTGCATTGGCTTCCAGTTAGATATAGGGCCCAATTCAAAATTCTGGCGCTTGCTTACAAATCCCTACATAATGCTGCTCCAACATACCTATCTTCCCTCATACACAAGTATGTCCCGACGAGACCCCTGCGCTCAGCCCAAGACCTACTCCTATCCTCTGCCCGGATCCCCACCTCTGATGCTCGCCTTCAAGACTTCTCCAGGGCTGCACCTATTCTGTGGAACTCCCTTCCCTCCTCAATCAGACTTTCACCCAGCCTCCATTCCTTCAAAAAATCTTTGAAAACTCACTTCTTTATTAAAGCGTATCAATTAAACTGTCAGCAGGTTTCTCATCCCCCACCCCATGACTCCGTTCCTTCACCTGTCAAAAATGACCTACCAAGCACTCAATAAACCCTTCTGTAACAAACTATTTAATTCCCCTACTTTAACCCTTTGTGTCACTATACCCCACTCCCTCTAGCATGTAAGCTCATCGAGCAGGGCCCTCAACCCCCTCTGTTCCTGTACGTCAGTGGTCTGATCTCAATTATGTGTCTGTTAGTCCACCCATTGTACAGCGCTACGGAATTTGTTGGCGCTATATAAATAATAAAATAATAATAATAATAATAAAGGTTCATCTATTAGCTTTACACAAAGCTCTAGGAGTTTACTTTCATCAAAGGAGTCTAATCTCCTGTATTCTGTAAAAAGCAAAAATTAACAAAAAACTAGACAAATTTATAGTCAGCCAGGTAATACAGTCTGAAAATAGGCAAAGAGATATATGTAAAATAACACTAGAACCAATTCACTAAAAACATGTTGAAAATGATGTTCCTGCTGTCGGTCTTTTTTGTTTGACAAATAATGTAAAGAATGGAGTTTGTACGATGAGTGAGTCCAAGTTTATATGTGGGTAGAGTAGTTAGGTGTTGATCTGCTACAACTTTTGAACACGATATAGATCGATATTGTGGTTTTGATTTTCATTTGAATAGCGATGTTTAGTGTAAATACATATTGTCCACAGATTTGGAAGAATTGTTTTACAGAGGTGCCTTCAATAAATAATTTGTGTAACCAACCCATTAGAACCAGGTAAGGGAGTTTACGATAAATAAGGCCATTGTAGGGCATAAGGCCTGTCTACCAACTTAAAATTTAGTTTGAGAGCTGCTGTAGAGACTAATGTTAAAAATGTCTTGTTATGGAACAATGGCCATCAAACGATCTGAACAGGTGTTGCAATGTATAATGGTACGGCAAAGTAGCAGTAAAAAGCTTCTTTTTCTTTTTAAAACTACTTTGCTATACATTGCAACACCCGTACAGATTGTTGGCTGACTAAAACTGTCCACTTGGTTTTTAATTTGGAGCAGCGCCATTTTTTGGTAAAACTCAAGACTGAGATATCTAATGGATTTCCCTGATTCTGTATAGTCTCACTACACTAACACATGGAGACCTACAGCATGTCAACAATGTGGGACCAGGAGGTTTCCCACTGCAGCCTTGTTTTGGCACACTGGATTAAGGAGGTACCATCCTGCAGCCTTGTTTTGGCACACTGGATTAAGGAGGTACCATCCTGCAGCCTTGTTTTGGCACACTGGATTAAGGAGGTACCATCCTGCAGCCTTGTTTTGGCACACTGGATTAAGGAGGTACCATCCTGCAGCCTTGTTTTGGCACACTGAATTAAGGAGGTACCATGCTGCAGCCTTGTTTTGGCACACTGGATTAAGGAGGTACCATCCTGCAGCCTTGTTTTGGCACACTGGATTAAGGTGGTCCAATGCTGCAGCCTTGTTTTGGCACACTGGATTAAGGAGGTACCATCCTGCAGCCTTGTTTTGGCACACTAGATTAAGGAGGTACCATGCTGCAGCCTTGTTTTGGCACACTGGATTAAAGTGGTCCAATGCTGCAGCCTTGTTTTGGCACACTGGATTAAGAATGTACCATCCTGCAGCCTTGTTTTGGCACACTAGATTAAGGAGGTACCATCCTGCAGCCTTGTTTTGGCACACTGGATTAAGGGGACTTTCTTGCAGTTTATACTCCACATATATTGTAGTGCTATAGTTTCCTAGGAGGTTTGCAACATAGACCCTCCTGTGTTATGCACCCCTGGGTATGACATTATGTCAAGGCTTTTCATGGTGATGTGAGAGGTAGGCCTATCTTATTTATTTATTTTTTGTCACACTGTTCCATGTTATCTACTATACAGTAACGTTTTGTGTAATTTTGTATTTGTTTAATACTATTAGCATTTATTTTGAATCTACAGGAATACATAATAATGTACTGTTATATATCAAAATGTCATTGTTAGATACATGTAATAATAATAACATTTTAAAGGCATTTAAATGGATGAGAAGACAAACCCAAAACATTGCATTAACAAAGAGTCAGAAATGTTATCAGCATTAACAAATAATCAGGAAAGTCCAGAGGATAAAACTGAAAGTCAGGCTGCGAGCTGTGTTCAAGTCTCAGAATGGTAAAGCCGCAATCCCAAAGAAACAATGAAATCATCAACGGGTAAAGTAGTAAAGATCTCGTCTATTGATTAGATAAAACTATAATGTAAGGGGTATTGTGAGCCAGTATTCTCCCCATGGACCAGGAGGACGTTTCAAAGGCAACTTGTAACTTGTTTAGAGGAGGATATAAAGTTGACAGATAGGATTCCCAGCTTGAAGAATCTTTGGTAAAGGTTTCCTTCACTTAGTTTAGAGTCATTTCATATATGTAAAATAATTTGGTGGAAAAAGGCAATTGTGGAGTGATATCTGGAAATATGTTTTGTAAAACTGATCTCCTTGACAACACTTTCAGTATTGTGATTGATTGGCAGGGTCTTTGTGAATGACGGAGAATCCTATTAGATAATATTTGTATTTCGCCTGCATTCTCCCCAAACAGGAACATTACAGAGTTAAAGGATCCAAGTTTCCTATACAGACATTGTCTAACCATGACCAGTCAAATGTTACTGGACTATGATTATAAATACTGTCAGTAAATAATGGGATATGTAGTTTAACAATTGTTGCAGGGAAAGGTTCGATATCCCAGATATTGAGCGTCACTGTACACATAACGGGATTAATAAGATCAAAATCACTGTACTAGAAAAGTCAAAATTCTCTTGGATTTTCTGATTGCTGCCACGGTTGTTTCTTCTGATTCGGTTCATTAATAAGAATCTTCCTCGACGCGGACTCCTGCCAGGGAGAACATCGGACGGGTCCTTTAGTCTGCCAGGTATATTCTCCAGAATACCGTGACAGCCCTTTACTCGCACTTTCAGAGTACCTGTCAAACAATCAGAATAAATATTGTAACAATGGCTATTACACTTTCACATTTATGAACAAAGGAGAAAAGAAAAAGGAATCTGTTCCTAATGCCGATATCGGATATACACAAACGGTTAAAAATCTAGAAGATACTTTATTAATAAATGGAAAACATAAATCTGAAAAGACCCCAGCAATGGCTGCCTGACTCAACAAAAGTCAATTACGGCAGCCAAGACAAAGAGCATACATAGAAATAAAAAAGATAAGTAAAAAGAAAAATGAAAATAGATCGATAAGGTAATAGAAAGAGTTTTAACAATGGATAAATGATAGTATCTATAGATCAGACAATTGATACAATGCGTGGGAGCCCCCTAAGTAAAGCTGACAATTCATTCAGTGTAATGATTCTTACATATCAGAGATAAAATATAATACAAAATGTCGATGCAATACAAGGGAATCTGTTACCATCAGTATGAACTGAAACTAAGTATATTGATCTCTGTGTGTCAACTAAAAGATACAATACATCCCCCTGATGAGCCTGTAAGTTAGGCAAAACGCGCGTTGAGGCACGTAGATTAGACATTATTGCGATTATCAGGCTAGATATTTTGTGTGTCCCCAGCAACCCTCTTCCTTCCTATGAGCACGGACATACATCTTTGGATTTATTTATTACTTGGGATCCCGAGGGGCTATGATAGTTTGGGATACTAGCCGTGTATACTGATTAGATCGATCAGGATATCATTAGCTATTAATGCAGTATTTCTCTACTGTCTATTTGGTTATTTACCAGCATCAGCACTCTTGTTTCTTTACCATCTATCCTATACTTGGTGCCCTCGAAGTCACCATTCCGATCTTTCTTCATTTGGTGTATAATTCATCATGGATAATTAGTTATTTCATTAAGGTTACTGGGCATATTCTAGATACTGTTGCCTTTTCACCTTTTTGATTAACTCTATTTACTCATTACTCTCGTAACACCAATTTGATATGCTGATGTGATTTATATGTATATGTAATTAGATTCGATTTTGTTCTTATATTAGAACTTTTGGAAATACTATTACTGCATTCACTACTTTTATTTTTAGAGAGAGTTTATAGTGGGAGAATCTCCTGTACCTTAACGGCATTGATTCTGTACAGTGATTCTTTTGTCTTTATATACATAGTGACTATTATACCAAACGGGAGTATTTAACTCCTTCCAGTGGGTTCCCCTGTATTGTATCTTTTAGTTGACACACAGAGATCAATATACTTAGTTTCAGTTCATACTGATGGTAACAGATTCCCTTGTATTGCATCGATATTTTGTATTATATTTTATCTCTGATATGTAAGAATCATTACACTGAATGAATTGTCAGCTTTACTTAGGGGGCTCCCACGCATTGTATCAATTTTCTGATCTATAGATACTATCATTTATCCATTGTTAAAACTCTTTCTATTACCTTATCGATCTATTTTCATTTTTCTTTTTACTTATCTTTTTTATTTCTATGTATGCTCTTTGTCTTGGCTGCCGTAACTGACTTTTGTTGAGTCAGGCAGCCATTGCTGGGGTCTTTTCAGATTTATGTTTTCCATTTATTAATAAAGTATCTTCTAGATTTTTAACCGTTTGTGTATATCCGATATCGGCATTAGGAACAGATTCCTTTTTCTTTTCTCCTCTGTTCTGCAATTATTGAGGGTTACCCCCTACTCTGTTCCTATAGACACTAGGACATTGATGTTCTGGCCATTTTTCAATATTTATTACTTTCACATTTATGTTAAAGAAAACTTTGTGTTTGGTCTAAGTAGCACACACAGAATATGAAATGATTAGGCAGCTTTTACATCTTTATCAGAATATAAATCAACCAAAACTGAACTTACAAACAGATAAAAACTCAGTAGCGTCAGTTAGTCCCTGCTTGGTACACAGACAAGGTTCATCTCACTGGTGCCATTAGAGAGGAAAGCTATACTATTTGCATTATAAGATATTTCTAAACACTCACAGGAGTAATTCAGAACCAGAATGCAATAAGTCCACGCTACACAAGTTGGAACCCCTCTATGCAAAGTGAACAAGGAGTCCATGTCTGGATTAACCTTTACACTTAGTGGGACTCTAAGATAATAAAAAAAAAAAAAAAAGTAAAACTGAATTCATGAGAATACCAAGAATGGGCACATTCTCAGTAACATGTCAAGTGCACATATTCAGATTATTATAAACTGTGTCTTAGACAGTAAGTAAAGTCATTTATCTAATTGCCCATTAGTAAAGTATTCATCAAAGTGTAATGCTTAACTTGTTTACTTAGTTTATGCTAATAATTCACTCATTTAAAAGTTATGCAGAAAGCTAGCTCAGTACATTTGGAAGAATAATGCTAAGAGTTACATATTGTTATCATTTAAAATGTCACCGGTCACATTTAAACTTGCATCCACGTCACATAGAATAAATTCTGCTGGAATATCGGTACACTAACTGTGAGTTTCCTCCAGTCAGACTTCACACAGATGGAAACATGCTCGGATATTTCAATGTTAGATATACTTGTTTAGTTTATTCACAGATCTTTCAGAGACAAAAATAACTTACCCGTTAGTGCTATGGACTTGGATTTGACTGAACCAAGGGACAGTTCCTCGGTGGTTATACTCTTCCTAGGGTGGCCATCAGGAAGTTCTTTCACTCGTTCCTCCAAGGAATATTTAAGGAGGTCCAGCTTTTCATTTGATGCCTGTAGTATTGATTGTGCCTGTTAAAAAAGTGGGAAAAAAAGATGAAGGATCAACAGAACAACAGACATTATCTGCTGGCAAAAATATCTGGAAGTTGCTGCCCAACATGAGCTGATGTTCAAGGTTAGACACATAAGTCCTACGAGTGTGGCTCATACTTTCATTGCATTTATAAATGGTGTTCTAATTCCACATCATGTTCAATGTATAAAACTCAGGATTAATCACTAAAGTCTGGATTGTAGCAAATCATAATCTGAACTGCAAATATTTAAACTAAAAATAGTGATCGTGAGAAATTCCATCACGGCTTTTGTCAGAGGTTATCTACGTTTGAAAAACAAAGTGGAAACACCACCCAAATACGTGATAATATAAGAAAAAATACAAATAACCTGAAATATAGGTCGTGATTCATAAACAGAATCTGTACAAAAGATTAAAAGACTAACATAGCGTAATACAGTATTAAATAGGTGAGTGATATTTAGTGGAAATAAGTGCACTCACAAACAAATATGAAATCAGGCTTCTCACCCACCCAAGGGTAGCAATCTTATGAGTGGACGATCCTCCGTGGGATATATGAAAAGTAAAAAACCAAATATAGTGAAGCATGTAATTAAATTACAAAACAGTATTTATTGGTCTCACTTACAAGTGAAGAAAAATAGCAGGCATATCTCCATATAACATGGAACTCCCAGAACGATGCAGAAGAGAGTCCAATAGAAGATCCAATGAAGCAGACAGAATACAAATAAAATAAAAATAAAAACTTAATACAGAATTACATAAAAAAGGATAAAATATAATAGCAGCATGCATAAACTTAAAGTATCTATCCAACGCGTTTCGTCCAACAGAAAGGGGACTTCCTCAGGGATTTAGATGTGGTGATCCTTCTAGATATATATAGGGCGATATCCATAATCATCCTAAATTCAAAAAACCCGGCTATCCGGCGTCCGGCTGTGGCGTGCGTTTCATCCGTGGCACGCATGAAACAGGATATAGTGCTTATGTTCCGGTTGTACTGTCATTTCCGGCAACGTGGAACGCATATGCGTAGTTTGTGCGCGTGCGCATAATAGACGCGCATGTGTGTCATAAACGCACATGCGCAGATGTTATTACCGGAACCTACAGGGGACAAAAAAGTAGAATAAAACGGGCGGATAATCCACCCAAGAGACTAAGAACCAGGATGAAACAAAAAATAAAAAATAGACAAAGAATAAAAAATTGAATAAAAAAGCAAATACATATATAATAAATATATATATATTGCCCAGTGCATTATACTTAATATACTACACATATAAACACATGTAACGGATCACCTGGCACCCCGACTGGGTACCTCCGTTAAAGGATGCTCCTAGCGCTTCCTGAGGACTCCAAGCACTGCAGCAGACACCACAACCACCGAACCGGAGAAGCATATGAATCCTCTCAAGCATTTGAATGCTGTAGACAGTTGAATAGGAACCATACGAATAGGTTTACTCTCCTAGCAGTCAAACTGGAACAGCATACAATAAATCCTTCCCCCAATAATGAGACGACACTTCACTTTGAGGGTTAAAACAGGAACTCCCTGTACTGTCACATACAGTCTCTTTTATTCCCAATCCACAAACATAGTACAGCCCACAGGGCGTTACAAAACAACCAATCACATCACAGTTACATCCCACATATTCCCTCCCCTTATCCTGAGAGGAAACTCAATTACACATACAGTTAAAACATACTTTCTACCCAACTTTCATAACTCCAAAACCATACATCACATTCACATAAAATTACATATTCACAATCAATCCATTCAGGGGAACAACATATTCAAAAATGGCACAAATCAGACAAGGGGTTCAAAAGTTAGTAAAAAGTCCTTTGTGACTAAATGAAGCATGGCTTTCTGGCCCAAACCAGTTTCAGAGTCTTCTATCCTGGAGATAAGTAATTCAATTATCTCCCAGGACAGACACAAGACTCCATTAAGCACATGGTTGCAAAAGACACAAAACACTTTAAAATACATAAAGTCACATTTTACACATAACACACAGACATTTCACATATCCCCAGATAGCTCAGGTCTGAGCGCACATTATTAAGTGAATGGCGCTCGGACCACACAAATACAGTTTAATCGCCATGGAACCAAAGTCTTTACAGTCAGTTTCATACGAATGGGCTCCATGGGATTCCTATCTGGGTTATAACACATTCACATAAGGTCTGGTCCATAGTCCAAAGGCAAGAGGCGGGCAAGCAGCCCCCTCCAAGGACACGTGGCGAGGCCGGTTTCGCCACAACACATATAAACACACACAATTGATTACAATTACTAGACCAGAAACATTTACCTAGACACAAAATATTGCAAACCCCAAATATTATGAAATGAGAGGAAATTCATATTTCTCTGCTTAAATGCATATGGATTAAGTTAGTCTAATTCAAATTAAACCTTGTAAATCAATTTCCTGATTGAGTCCTTGATGTAAAGTTTTCAGATTAAAAATCCAAAACGCCTCTTTTTTAATTAACTCTTGTAATTTGTCTCCTCCCCTCCAACCTAGATGGATGGAGTCTATACCAAATGCCTGAAAAGTGTTCCATATAAACAACGGACATGTGTTGCAATGTCTAGGTACACTATGGTTAGATTTCTTTTTCTTTATGTTATTGAAATGTTCAAAAATTCTGATATGTAGTTTTCTAGAAGTACGGCCCACGTACTGAGCCCCACAACCGCATTGTAGTAAATACACCACAAAGGAAGAAGAACAGTGAATATGTTTCTTAATATTATAGGTTTTATTAGTGTATGTACTTGTAAAATTCACAATTTTCTTTTTTTGATATTTACAAGTGGAACAACGTCCACAGCTGAAGAAACCTAATATAGGAGTTTTTAATACATTGTTACAAGAAGGAGTAGACGGTAACAAACTAGGTGCCAATTTATTTTTTAAATTTGCTGATTTTTTGTAAATTACTATAGGGAATTCAGGTAACATATGTTTTAAGACATCATCCCTCTTCAGGATGTGCCAATGTTTCTTAAGTATCTGTTCTATCTTTTTTGCCTGAGAATTATATTGAGTCAAAAAAGCAAATTCTAATTTATTATTAGAATTGTGTCTATTATTTTTACTTTTTTTTATCTTTTCTATTGAATCAAACTAAAACATTTTTTAGATACATAAATGAGAAAAGAAAAGTAAAACAAGGATTAGTTAGATTAAAAACAAAAGAAGGAAGGTATGTAGAAGAGGATAAAGGTCTAGCTGACTGCCTCAATGAATATTTTTGTTCTGTATTTACAGATGAAAATGAAGGAAAAGGACCTCAGTTGAGAAAAAGGATAAATGAGTCATTTATTACACGTTTACAGAGGAAGAGGTTCTATTTCAACTGTCAAAAGTAAAGACAAATAAGTCAATGGGACCTGATGGAATACACCCAAAGCTATTAAAAGAGCTTAGTGGTGTACTAGCAAAACCATTAACAGATTTATTTAACCAATCATTGTTAACAGGAGTAGTCCCAGAAGATTGGAAGTTAGCGAATGTTGTGCCCATTTACAAGAAAGGTAATAGGGAGGAGTCGGGCAACTATAGGCCAGTAAGCCTTACTTCAGTAGTGGGGAAAGTGATGGAAACCATGTTAAAGGATAGGATTGTTGAACATCTAAAACACATGGATTTCAAGATCAGAGACAACATGGGTTTACTTCAGGGAGATCATGCCAAACTAATCTTATTGATTTTTTTGATTGGGTAACTAAAATTATAGATCAGGGTGGTGCAGTAGACATTGCTTACCTAGATTTCAGTAAGGCTTTTGACACTGTTGCACATAGAAGGCTTATCAATAAACTGCAATCTTTAAGTTTGGATTCAAATATTGTTGAATAGGTAAGGCAGTGGCTGAGTGACAGGCAACAGAGGGTTGTAGTTAATGGAATATATTCGAAGCTTGGACTTGTCACCAGTGGGGTACCTCAGGGATCTGTACTTGGACCCATTCTCTTTAATATTTATATTAGTGATATTGCAGAAGGTCTTGATGGTAAGGTATGTCTTTTTGCTGATGATACTAAGATATGTAACAGGGTTGATGTTCCAGGAGGGATAAGCCAAATGACAAATGATTTAGGTAAACTAGAAAAATGGTCAGAATTGTGGCAACTGACATTTAATGTGGATAAGTGCAAGATAATGCATCTTGGACGTAAAAACCCAAGGGCAGAGTACAGAATATTTGATAGAGTCCTAACCTCAACATATGAAGAAAGGGATTTAGGGGTGATTATTTCTGATGACTTAAAGGTAGGCAGACAATGTAATAGAGCAGCAGGAAATGCTAGCAGAATGCTTGGTTGTATAGGGAGAGGTATTAGCAGTCGAAAGAGGGAAGTGCTCATGACATTATACAGAACACTGGTGAGACCTCACTTGGAGTATTGTACACAGTACTGGAGACCGTATCTTCAGAAGGATATTGATACCTTAGAGAGGGTTCAGAGAAGGGCTACTAAACTGGTTCATGGATTGCGGGATAAAACTTACCAGGAAAGGTTAAAGGATCTTAACATGTATAGCTTGGAGGAAAGACGAGACAGGGGGGATATGATAGAAACATTTAAATATATAAAGGGAATCAACACAGTAAAGGAGGAGACTATATTTAAAAAGAAGAAAAACTACCACAACAAGAGGACATAGTCTTAAATTAGAGGGACAAAGGTTTAAAAATAATATCAGGAAGTATTACTTTACTGAGAGGGTAGTGGATGCATGGAATAGCCTTCCAGCTGAAGTGGTAGAGGTTAACACAGTAAAGGAGTTTAAGCATGCATGGGATAGGCATAAGGCTATCCTAACTATAAGATAAGGCTAGGGACTAATGAAAGTTTTTAGAAAATTGGGCAGACTAGATGGGCCGAATGGTTCTTATCTGCCGTCACATTCTATGTTTCTATGTTTCTATTGTTCCCTTCTCTTTGTTCCCTATCACCAAGTAAAAGGGTTCTATCAGAAGAAAGAATCTCTATTTCCGCTTTTTCAATTTTATTAAGATTATAACCCTTATCTATATATCTTTGTTTTATAATTGCCGATTGTTCCAAAAAAACATCCCTATCGGAACAATTTCTCCTGAGACGGGTTAGCTGGCTTTTTGGAATATTTGAAAGCCATGGGGGATGGTGAGCACTAGAACATTCAATAGCTGTATTGCAATCTGTGGGTTTAAAGTATGTTTTGGTCTTTAATTGATTGGATTCTCTATATATTGTTAAGTCCAAGAAATTAACAGAAATGATGCTTGATGTGAAAGTAAACAGCAAGTTGTAATCATTATCATTGACATACTACATGAAAGAGTTGAAACTCTCCATAGTGCCATCCCAGATGATCAGTACATCATCTATGTAGCGTCGCCATAGGACCAAAGTACCCCCAGTATGCTTGCCCAATCTGACGTGCTGTTGCTCCCAATGGGATACGTACAGGTTGGCGAAACTGGGGGCAAATTTGGTACCCATGATATAACTGCTCTTTATTCTAACGTTCCTCATATGAAAGGCATTATGTGCATTAAGGAAATGCTTAAATCCCAGCAATCTTTACATGATACCCAAATCGAATTTTTGATCAATTGTATTCAGTTCGTTCTAACAAAGAACTTCTTCTGGTTTAACAACCAGTATTATTTACAGCTGTGGCGTCGCCATGGGTACCAAATTTGCCCCCAGTTTCGCCAACCTGTACGTATCCCATTGGGAGCAACAGCACGTCAGATTGGGCGAGCATACTGGGGGTACTTTGGTCCTATGGCGACGCTACATAGATGATGTACTGTAGGTTGGAGGGGAGGAGACAAATTACAAGAGTTAATTAAAAAAGAGGCGTTTTGGATTTTTAATCTGAAAACTTTACATCAAAGACTCAATCAGGAAATTGATTTACAAGGTTTAATTTGAATTAGACTAATCTAATCCATATGCATTTAAACAGAGAAATATGAATTTCCTCTCATTTCATAATATTTGGGGTTTGCAATATTTTGTGTCTAGGTAAATGTTTCTGGTCTAGTAATTGTAATCAATTGGGTGTGTTTATATGTGTTTATATGTGTAGTATATTAAGTATAATGCACTGGGCATTATATATATGTTTATTATATGTGTATTTGCTTTTTTATTAAATTTTTTATTCTGGTTTTTTATTCTTTGTTTCATCCTGGTTCTTAGTCTCTTGGGCGGATTATCCGCCCGTTTCTTCTACTTTTTTGTCCCCTGTAGGTTCCGGTAATAACATCTGTCCATGTGCGTTTATGACACACATGCGCGTCTATTATGCGCACGCGCACGAACTACGCATATGCGTTCCACGCTGCCGGAAATGACAGTACAACCGGAACATAAGCACTATATCCTGTTTCATGCGTGCCACGGATGAAACGCCTGCCACAGCCGGACGCCGGATACCCGGGTTTTTAGAATTTAGGATGATTATGGATATCGCCCTATATATATCTAGACGGATCACCACATCTATATCCCTGAGGAAGTCCCCTTTCTGTTGGACGAAACGCGTTGGATAGATACTTTAAGATTATGCATGCTGCTATTATATTTTATCCTTTTTTATGTAATTCTGTATTAAGTTTTTATTTTTTTTTATTTTATTTGTATTCTGTCTGCTTCATTGGATCTTCTATTGGACTCTCTTCTGCATCGTTCTGGGAGTTCCATGTTATATGGAGATATGCCTGCTATTTTTCTTCACTTGTAAGTGAGACCAATAAATACTATTTTGTAATTTAATTACATGCTTCACTATATTTGTTTTTTTACTTTTCATATATCCTACGGAGGATCGTCCACTCATAAGATTGCTACCCTTGGGAGGGTGAGAAGCCTGATTTCATATTTGTTTGTGAGTGCACTTATTTCCACTAAATATCACTCACCTATTTAATACTGTATTACGCTATGTTAGTCTTTTAATCTTTTGTACAGATTCCGTTTATGAATCACGACCTATATTTTAGGTTATTTTTATTTTTTCTTATATTATCACGTATTTGGGAGGTGTTTCAGCTTTGTTTTTCAATTACATGTGTTTTAGGTGTTAGTGAGGTACACCTGGGATCTTTTCCTAATATATGATTTTAACATAATTTTGTATAGTGTGTATACTCTACTGGTTTGTCTGTATTTTCTTATCTACGTTTGCCTCAGTTTTGTAATTCAGATTTTAATTTCCTACAAGTCAGTTTATTGAAAAAAAAAACTGTATTTAACTTAAATGCTGAATGGAAAAGAAAAACCTAGTTAGCACGGATTTCCATAGATTTATATTATGCTATTGGCTTTTAATAAAACTAATGGGAATTAAACAATTGGGAGAATTTTAAATAAATCATAGAGACAGCATAAAATACAGAACAAATGGACCAATAAAGACTTCAAACAATTAAAGTCTCAGAAGAGAGAATATAAATTTAACATTTATGAATTATTCATAAAGCAGATTTTGTTGGCGCTTTATAAGTCATAATAATATACCATGGCTACTTGGCTAATGCCAATAAATTGTAATTTCCAGCCCCTTGACAGACATTGGAAGCCCATTATTCATTCTGGGGATGAAATGGTTAAGAGAATGCACTTTCTAACTGACCTCAACAAGCGGCTTTCCATCCAATTTCTGGATGGCGTGTTTGGCTCCTTCAGCCACGGCACGCTCGATCACAAATCGGTGGCTCAACTCCTCAATGCGTTTCTCCAGTGGACTTATTGCAGGTGTTGCTAGGACACAAAGTATTACATTTTATTATATTAATTGTAAAAAGGAAATCGACATGGTAGTTTCAGGTGTCACAGTACTAAACGGGTAATTTATATAAGGTTTCTCTCCATATTTCTATATGACTCAGTGCACTCTTTCAAACAGAAAGCATTTTAACCGCTTCCCGACCACAGACAGAAATTTCCCATCAAGCTTGTCCTTGTGTAAAGGACCCTTGATGTAAAAGTTCTGTCATTTACTGAAGTTAACCCCGCATCGCCGTAATCGCGGGGTTAACGTTCCTCCGGTCTGCCTCGGTACTCGAGGCAGACCGGAAGCCCCCGAATGCGCTGTCCCTGCAGCTGTGATCGCTCTGACAGCCTCTGACTCTTCCGCAGCCAGTGTGAAGTGCATGGAGACGGATCAGTGATGATCTGCTTCTCCCTGTAAATAAATAAAGTTTTTAAGTTAAATCCCATCCCCTTCCACCTGCTTTAATATAATTAACCCCTTTCATGCCAATTGATCACTGACTACAGTGGTCAATTAGCAGGGACTACATTTTACGGTCATCAGATTTTTATTTTTTACCCCCTGAGGGTTAATTTTTATTTTATTTTTAATCCGCAGCGGTTACATTTATTCTATTAATTCATTTAAATATTTTAAAATTATGTATTTAGCTAGCTGGGGTGGGTGGAAGTCAGAGGGGAATTGGTGAATTCGGTGTTAGGCTAGCTAGCCTGCTAAAGAGCTCCAAAGTGGAAGACGGACGCATCAAAACTCCATGAAGATTCACACTTAAAAACCTGAACTTGTCACGTCTCGTTTACAGCAGTGTAACATCACAAAATAGTGTATAGGTCATACATTGGGCATATTGGTTTACTCACAAGATGTAACTGAGCATAATTTTGGGGATATCATGACAGTGACACATATCAAGTGTAAGAAATATTTTTTTTCCTTTCACCACAAACATTGGCATAAATTAGTGAAAAAATGGTGACATGTTAGGGCACAATATACGCCATATAAAATACCCTGGGGTATCTGCTTTATCAAATGAAAGCCCTTTGTGGGGTTATTTAAACAGTCAAACTGCTATAATACTCCAAAATCAGACATAGGCCCGTCAAATCCATCTATGAAAATTCTAATTATAGAAACTGAAATAGCCTTGTCTCTTATATGGCATTGTAGATTCACAGAATAATGCCAAAGGCATACAATGGGGGTATCGTTATACTCAGCAGATGTAGCTGAACACAATAGTACACCCCAGCTTTACGAAATACACATTACAAATGTTATAGGTGCTGTGGCGAAACCAACCTCGCCACTGTACACTGGAGAAGCCTGGTTGCTCGCATGCTGCCTTTGGACTATGGCCCCATGTTAAAAGACATCTTTTTTCCCTGCAGAAAATACTTATTCGTGCTTTTCTGCCGGGTGTTCGGTAGATTCCATCTACAGAACAACCGTACGAATGAATAGACCAGCTGAGAGCTGGAGTGTGCCGGCAATTAACCTCCCTGAAGCTGCGGTTAACCGCAGCTTAATTGACGAATGCTGGGTGGTCGCCATTCGTATCACGAACACGAGGTTGCGCCCATTTTAAACAGGCGAATGCACAGCGGTGTTCGACGCTTAATTCATGGAACTGAAATCGGACACAGTTTTGCTTGAGTGTGTTGTGCCCCAGATAGGAATCCCATGGAGCCCATTCGCATGAAACTGACTGTGTAAAGACTTTGGCTCCATGGCGATTAAATTGTATTTGTGTGGTCTGAGCGCCATTTGCTTAATAATGTGCGCTCAGACCTGAGCTATCAGGGGATATGTAGAACGTATATGTTTTATGTACTGAATGTAACTGTAGGTAATTTGATGTCTTTTACTGTTTGTTTTCTGCCATGTGGTTAATGGAGTTTTGCCTCTGTCTTTGGAGATAATTTAATTACTTCCCAATTATCTCCAGAGCAGAGAGGAGGGATTGTGATGCATTGTGGGATGGTTGAAATGTGTAAGTCTGTGATTGGTCCTTTTACCCTTTGTGTCCCAGTCTCCAATTTGGTCCCCTAGGGGAGTGTCCACCAGGTGGGAGACCTGCATAAAAGCCGGGCAGTTAGCCCCAGTAAATGAGTTCCTGCTTAACCCTCATAGTGAAGTGTCGTCTCATTATTGGGGGAGGATTTACTGTATGCTGTTAGAGACTGATTGCCAGGAGTGTAAGCCACTTAGGGGCTTTCCTGTTCGTCTGCTAGCAGCTATTCGTGTGTCTCCAGTTCGAGAGTTTCGAGTATTCCCTTGGTTCCAGTTCAGGAGATTGGTGCTTGCAGTAGCTGTCGGTGCAGCTGAAAAAGGGGAATATCGCCTAAACGGTTTTTAACCTCTTTTGGGCAAAACGGTCCATTACAGGTGTATATGACAAAATAGAGAAAAAACACACTTTTACTCTAATATTTAGCAGAGATTGGCGATGAAATCGCTACGTTAAATGTGTCCAAATAACCGTGGGTAAATAGCCTGTGATATCTACTTTATATAAATATATACTCTTCTGTGGCAATTTTGTTTTCTGTGATGGCTACTAAACCTACAAGACAAACCTACCAACTTCTAAAATTGTTTCACATTGAAATTTTATTTTAGTCCTTGATTTTGTGTCCTGTAACTTTCATAATAAGCTGAAATCCTACACGTATTATGTAGTCTATAAATCAAGATGCATAAAGGAATTTATTTTCAATTACTTTTTGTAAGCTGTACATATTATGCACATGCTATCATTGCCAAAACTGTGAAAAAAAAATGTTTTTTTTTTTCCTTTTTTTGGCATTTTGTTTTAATAATTAATCACAATTTATCTATGTATATGTGACATCAAATTAAAGCCCCTTTTGCCCTCTAAAAAAACTGTATATATTATGTGTTGGTGCAATAAATGACAGAGATGCGATTCGAATTTAAAGACAAAGAGCAAAAATTGCAAAAATAGCTTGTGTCCTTAAAGGACCACTATAGTGCCCTGAGGGTGCCCCCACCCTAAGGGCCCCCCTCCCGCCGGGCTGGATGGCGAGGAAAGGGGTTAAACTTACTTTTTTCCAGCGCCGGGTGGGGAGCTCTCCTCCTCCTCTCCGCCTCCGATCCTCCGCTTCGGCTGAATGCACATGCGCGGCAAGAGCTGTGCGCGCATTCAGCCTGTCTCATAGGAAAACATTTACAATGCATTCCTATCGACGCTTGCGTCTTCTCACTGTGATTTTCAATGAGACAGCCAGTAGGGGATTTAGAGGCTGGATTAACCCCTAACATAAACATAGCAGTTTCTCTGAAACTGCTATGTTTATAAAAAAAAAAAAAAAAAGAGTTAATCCTAGAGGGACCTGGCACCCAGACCACTTCATTAAGCTGAAGTGGTCTGGGTGCCTAGAGTGGTCCTTTAAGGGTAAGACAAGCTTTTGAAGATGTGTCCTTAAGGGGTTAAAGGGACATGTTAGACACCCATTCTGGAATAACTTGTCTTATAAGGTTTCTTGCAAGCATTATTTTCTTACATTATTGGCAAATAATGTAAGAAATAACATATGAATCATAGCTGCATTCCCTTTGTCTGACACTTCCAAGAGCTGTTTGTTTCCCCATAAACCCTTAGTGTGCAGAGGACTATGGGATATATACAGCTCTCTCATAGCTTTCTATAAGTGGGCAGAACACAAACCACATCCATGCGCACCCTACCTTCACGCCTGACACATAGATCACCACATTTAATAGCAGCTGGAACCCATTAAATTATTTTTGACAGAAAAACAACCAACCTCCCCAGGCTAAACCCCCAAAAACGTAATATATGGTTTCTTTTTTTCACAATAATTTTCCTTTACAATACACAGAACATATGACATCACTGTACCTTTATGTTGGAGAATCAACATGCGCAAAATTTCTATTTTTATTTTGCTGTCATGGAGTATTTTCTGAGCATCACTGAGATGTTTCTGATCCTGTAATCAGAAAAATCAAATGGATAATTAAGATAAACAAAAACTGGACGTTTAGATTTATTACCCCACACCGCCATGTATACATGAGCTAAGTTTAATTTTCACTGTCCCTTAAAACCCTTTTAAAGGGACAATGAAGTCACCAAGGCACTTCATCTCAGTGAAATGGCCTGGGTGCAGAGATCCTTTCCCTTTTAACCCTGCAATGTAAAATTGCTAGGCTAAATTCACCTTTAAATGCTGTCATACTGACAAGGATTAGAGGTGCTTCCACAGCAACAAGTAAAAATCGGTCATGTGTCATGGAAGCTCATAGGAAATCATCAGATCCCCAATGCACCCCAGAAGGAACATTGGATTTTACCATCAGGGATGATGCCATGATTCCTCACTGATGTTGTGGGATGTAGAAAGGTGGAAAAGGTAAGTAAAACTTTATTATTGTTATTTTTTATTGCACATGAGGGAGGGGGACGATAACATGTATTTGACCAGCGCACTCACCCATTCACCAAACAGCAATCTCAAGGCTCATATAATGTAGTAGTTTTATTTAAAAACACCTAACCTGGGCAAAAATAATGGGAATTTAGTTACAGTATATGATCATACATTGCATAAGCCTGCCACGACGTCAATGTTCCCCATTCTTGGCAGGTCCTACTCTAGCAACCTAATGTATGCTCTTATTAGATTAATCCACTTAAATGGGAACTGCTTCCTTCCAAAATGTAACAGTTTTATCTAACACCTCACCTAGGCAAAAACATTGGAGTTGTGGCAGGCTTATGCAACGTATGATCATGTAATGTAACTAATCCCCATTATTTATGACTAGGTGAGGTGATCTGAAATAAAATGGTTACATGTTAATACATAAATTATTGTTTAGTGAATGAGTGAGTGCGCTGGATCTTGTATGTTGTATGAATTGGCCCCAGCAGCTCCCTTATAAGTATGCATGTTTAGGTGAGTGTCTCCCTCTTGGTTTCTTGTATTTGACTAGGGACAAGGGCACCACAGCATTAGGGATACAGGTTTCTATTTCTAACACTGCAATGTTCCTTGCATTTCTCCTCTCCTCTATTGTTGGTCTTCACCTAGAGATTTAATACATTTCCCTCTTTACCACCAAATTAAGGAGTTTTTTAAAATGTAAATTAATAAAGATATACTTGATCTTTAAGATGAAATAAAATGTGCCCAACATACTTTGGAGCGGCCGGTAGAATACGCCTTTATCAGCTTCTCTGCTTTGCTCTTAACTTTGTACTCATCTTCGAGTTGTTTCTCAAAAGTGGCTAACTTGTCCTCATCTGGTGAGGAGCATGAATCATTATCAGATGCAACTGGAATCTGGGGACCATCTGCAAATTAATAATAAGACAAAATTACAAATGGTAGCAGACATTATCACTCAATCGAGGGTAATGAAAGACAGACATTGAAAAGTAAAACCACGATAGCTGAAGCCAGTCATGATGGCAGCATCTAGTCTACAGTAAGTCACAAAGTGGATATAAAAATGGTGTAAGCAGGTTCATGATGGGTAATCTGGTAACTTTAATGGGATATGTGATATGTATCCAATATATATTTATACATTTACATAACACACACAAAGTGTTTTAATGTACCTGGACGTTCCCCTGCTCCTTGCTCGATAACATCAATTACTTGCGTTCCGCTGACCTGAAAAGGCAGAAATAAAAAGAATCAGAAAACCACAAAGTCTCTTTGCCAGACGAACAGGATCACAAGTTGTTTGTGGCTCTCAGTGTGGTTACTATGTGCTGGATTGTCTGGGAGGACTCTCTGGTCCTGTCTGGTGTGGTAGACTCTGCTTCTATTGATCTGGTGCCGATTGCCTGTTCCTGTGCTGCTAGTATTAGTGTCTCAGTGCTGTCTTTCAGTCCGGATTTATTTATTATATACATATACAGGATATATGTGTGTGTAAGCATCCTAATAACAATACTCTATAGTACTTTCACATGACATACCAGTAATTGAAATTAATAAGGGTCAAGGAATCCATACCACAAAAACCCATACAGTAACCATATGCTGTCACTGTGCTTTGGATATTAAAACTGGAGCCATGAAAGGGTTAAATATTGAAGAACGAATAAAATGATTTATCTGTGTGTAACCTCCACAGTGTTCCCCATTGATACTCAGATAACATGTTCAAACTGTATTCTCTTTATCCCATCCTGGACTACACTGGGGATTTGGTTAACATAATAAAACTCTCAGTTAATAATATGTAGAACTGTAATCTTATACAGAAAATCAAGTCTTTTACTTACATCACAGCATACACATGGAAAACACGAAAAAATAGTTCTACTATTTGCCATCTTTAGCTACGTGATCACCACAGCAGCTAAGCAGTGTCTACTGTCTAAGCAGTGTGTACTGACTGAACTGTGCTCAGCAAGGATTATGTCTCATTGATGTCTCAGTGATGTCACAGTGATGTCACAGCGAACAATCAGGCTATCTGTAGCTACCTCTGCCTTTCTATACTCAGTATAGGAGGAAATGCCTTAAATACTTAAAAATATAAATAAAATGCATTCCCCAGTGGAAATTAAAGTTTAAAAGTATATATACATACATACATACACACATACACAATGAGGGAAAAAAAGTATTTAATGCTCTGTCGGTTTTGAACGCTTGTCCACTGACAAAGAAATGATCAGTCTTTAATTCTAATGGTATGTGTATGTTAACAGTGAGAGACAGGATAACAAAACAAAACAAAAGTCCAGAAAAACTCATGTCAAAAAAAGTTATAAATTGATTTGCATGTCAATGAGTGAAATAAGTATTTGATCCCCTATCAATCAGAAAGATTTATGGTTCCCAGGTGGCTTTTATACAGGTAAAGAGCTGAGATTAGGAGCACTCTCTTAACCCCTTAAGGACCAAACTTCTGGAATAAAATGGAATCATGACATGTCACACATGTCATGTGTCCTTAAGGGGTTAAAGCAAGTGCTCCTAATATCAACTTGTTACCTGTATAAAAGACACCTGTCCACAGAAGCAATCAATCAATCAGATTCCAATCTCTCCACCATGGCCAAGACCAAAGAGCAGTCCAAGGATGTCAGGGACAAGATTGTGGACCTACACATGGCTGGAATGGGCTACAAGACCATCGCCAAGCAGCTTGGTGGTGCGATTATTTGCTGATGTGGATATCAATAAACAAATTGATTATCTTGTGTATCTGCCCCTGGCCAAATTAAAGAAATAGTGTGTGCACGCTCCTAAAGTAATTCACACCAGACACAAGTTTCAGGTTAATGAAAAACTAGAGGAATGTTTATTCGGTGGGGGGGGAACGACATGTCCCTTTTAAAGCAAAATTACATCATAGGCATTGTCAGAGATAACATGAAATAATACATCAATAATTGGTTAGGTGTTAAGTGGTTCATTTGGTGCTCTGCCTACTGAGGGTGATGTCACTGGCATCGTGGAAGTCTCCCCCAGATTCCAGCACCATCTTGCTAATGAGTGTGTTAATCGATGTTAGAGGGTCAACTCCCTAACGGCCATTTTAGATAATCACATAGAAAGTTGAATAATGCTGATTGTAGTTATGTTGAGTAAATAGACATTTTACTAATATGGATTAGGTTAATATTTTTGTCCACAACAGTCCCCCCTTAAAATGACTATTTACTAAAGAAAGGAAAGAAAAGACAGCCAACTACTAGCTAACCCTAATAATGTCCCTAATTTGGCTGCAGCTCATCTGTCTTAACAGGCCTCGAACACTTCACTGCGCAGGTATCCCGCAGCGGCTAACCCACTACATCTCCTGCGTCAGACTCCTGCCCGTAGAGACAGACGCTATCCCTATACTGTCCCTATAAGGTGGTAGTTGTTGTCTGTTTGACATGATGGGACTGAAGTGGTGTGTGGAGTGTCACAGTCAATATCATCAGCATCTTGGTGTATATATATAGGTGTGGTGCGGTCAATAGTCTGGTCTACGGTCTTTTGTAAATACCTTTGCACACATGGAACCACACAAGTTAGGACGAGGAAGAAGATCATTACAGTAGAACTGCCATCCCTATTTGAAAAGAGTCCTTTGCCATCCACTCATTCATCCAAACCATTTATCCCAAGAATTGGGAACCCCTGAATTCTTTTTTAATTCGTCAGAGAGATTTTCTAATTTCACTATGGCCATAGTCACTTTACCATTAGGACCGGTATTGTCTGGAATAAAAGTACAACACGTCATCGTCTCAGGGAGTATTTTACATACGCCCCCCTTTTCGGCCCAAATCATATCTAAGGCTATCCTGTTTTGGAATGTCATGTGAGAGGTAGCCTGTAACTGCTCGGCTAAGCCCTGTAGGGCATCTCGAGTGTAGTTGACAAAGCGTTGTTGGTTGTAGTAGATGTAATTAATCCAGTTGACTTTTTTATTAGCAGTGATAAGTGGGATCAAGGATTCGAATCCTGCTTCCACTTCATCTCTGGCTTTGAACTCATTTGGTACCCCCCTAGGTACTCCAATAGCATCTATATACACGTGTGGGTCAAAACTACCTCGTATGGGACTGTCTCTTTTCACTCTAAGATGTGTGTAAGAAGAATCATGCGGACCTTGGTGATTATCAGGGAAGATGTGAATGGGCATTATAACTTTAGTTAGAGTAGATTCTCCCCACCATAAACCAGTAATTTTTGGTCTGAGTTGCATGTCACCACATAACCAATAGATATCTACCACAGACTTAATCTGATTTACCAATAATGTTGTGGGTGGATTCCGGTAAGTTGCACAGTAACCAGAAGGAAATTTGCCTACGAATCTACCTGTGGCTCCGTGCATTGTATAGCATGTGTAATTACCTGGGTACACGGTGACTCCATCAGGTGGTCTGGTGTTCCCTTGCATAATTGGGTAAGCCTTTTTCCATGACTCACATGCTGACAAATTTACAATTGTTTGTGCATGGAGGCTTAAGAAACATGTTTCAACATCCAGGGGTAGATTTAGGTGTACTGTAACCAGGTGGGGCCTAGCTCCACCACAAACATAAGTTAGTTTTATTATGAGAGTTAGCATTGTACCTCATCCATTCAAGCCATAGATTAGTATCTGAAAAACCAGTCTCCACAGCCATAATGTCTTCAAATGTGGGATTGGCAATAGCCACCATGTCCTTGAGAATCTTGATGTTATTTACTGTCATGTGTGTTGACCCTACCCAGTCAGCTGATGTAAGCATGTCTTGCAAATAAAATGTTCCCAACTTCTTGTACGAGCCACTCCCTTTCCAATGCATTCCCCTTACGTATTCCCCGGCGTCACCTGGGCTGGCGTGTTCTATGTTTAAGGTCAATTTTATTGGAGTAGACCCTGTTGGTTTACACAAAGTCATTCGGTATAACAAAGGTTTCCCGTATCTGTCAACTCGGTCTAAGGCAGTCTGTGGTCTGTTACCCCATGGTCGGCCTGTGTTCCAACTTGCTGCTTTCCATGAGCTACAGTGATGTCCCCAATGACCGCCCGTTACACAAATGTACGGGTCCTTCTTGTTTGGTATGTCTTTGCATATTGCAGAGTGTTGTGATTGTGAAAAAAAGTACAAGTAACAATATCACAGTAATCAAAAGTAAATGTAGCCACATGTGTGTTTGAAGAATTGTACCACAATGTGTAAACATGATTGTCTTTGGTAATAGCAACTTGTTGGGCCTCTAAGAGGCCTAGCAGCAAACATAAATATAAAAGGCTCATGTTGGTGTGGGATCCGCTTCCTCTGGGTCAGGAACCTTCTTACAGTGCGAAGCGTGTATCCAAGTGTTCTTCCCAACCAACTTTATAGAGGTAGCTGTAGTCAATAGTACTTGGTATGGACCATCGAACCTTGGCTCAAGAGTATGTTTTCTTAGGAATTTCTTGACTTTAACCCAATCACCAGGTAGTAACTTGTGCGTGCCTGTATTGGATTCAGGCTCTGGAATAGAAGAAAACACCTGTGCATGGATTTTGGTCAAGGCATGAGAGAGTGCAGTTATATAATCTACCATTGCATCTGACTGGAGTTGAAGTTGTTGTGGAAAGTAACAACCTAACCTGGGTGCTGTCACAAACAAAATCTTGTAGGGGGATAGGTTAAACTTCCCTCTTGGAGTATACCTTACACTAAAGTGTGCTATGGGGAGACTCTCCGGTCAGGGCAAATTAGTTTCCTGTGACATATTAAGCATTCTGGCTTTCAGTATGCCATTCATGCGTTCTACCTTACCACTACTTTGTGGGTGATAGGGTGTGTGGAAAGCAAGGGTCACCCCAGTGCTGCCCAGATTTCTCTGGTCAGTAATGCGGTGAAATATGTACCTTGATCACTTTCAGTTACTTCAGGGACTCTCTATCTGCAGATAATTTCGGTGAGTAGGTGTTTAGTGGTAGTCTTTGCGGTAAGGTTGGCAAATGGGAAAGCTTCTGGCCACCCTGAAAACATATCCACTATGACCAGTGCATACTCGTAACGGCTGCTCTTCGGCATGTGGATATGATCAATTTGGATCCTTTGGAAGGGATATTGTGGTTTAGCCAAATGATTCGGTGCAGCTTTGATTATTTTCCCTGGGTTGCATTTAGCACAGATAGTACATGAACGGCAGTAATTTAGAGTTAAGGTAGTGATCCCAGGTGCTTCGAAATATTGATCAATCAAGGAGTTCATGAGTTGTTTTGACAAATGTGCTGGTCCATGAGCCCATTGGACAACAGCCGGGTACATATTCTTGGGTAGACAGAATTTGAGGTTGATTGTGTATATGTCACTCTGGATAATTGCTCCTTTGTCCTTCCAGCTTTGTTTTTCCTGTGGGGTAGCAGCAGCCTGTTGTTCTCTTAGGAATCTGAGGACATGGGTAAGGTTTGCATGGTGTAAATAGGGGTCTTCTCATCGGACACTCTTCTGTCCACTTCCCACTTCTGGCATGCTGCGTCTTTAGCCGCTTGGTCGGCCAGATGGTTACCATGGGCTTCTTCTGAATTCAATTTCCCATGGGCCTTGACTTTTAGTATAGCTACTTCTTCTGGCATTAGTAAGGCATCCATTAATTCGTTAATAGTCGCACCATGTTTTACAGGAGTACCTGTTGCTGTAAGGAATCCTCTGGTCTTCCAGATTAAGCCAAAGTCATGCGCTACTCCTAGGGCATACCTGGAGTCTGTGTAAATGTTGACACGCTTTCCTTCTGATATTCTGCATGCCACTGTAAGAGCTATCAACTCGGCTTCTTGAGCTGATTTGGAGGAGGGAAGTGGGGGTTCTTGGAGTATTTGGTCTTCTGTAGTGACTGCATACCCGGTATGGTACTGACCCTGTTCGTTTGCGAATCTGGAGCCATCCACAAACAGTGTGTAATCAGGGTTTGGTAAGGCGGTTTTGTGCACTGTGGGAAGATGGGTGGTTTCCATCTTCATCTGTTCAAAGCAGTCATGTGGAGCTTCTGGGTCTGGTTCTGCAGGAGGCACATCTTCACATATCTCTGCCTGATATCGGGGGTAAACGATTGTTTTGTAATTTATGGTCTTCTTAGTGACCCCCTTCACTGCACCTCCACCAGTCTAAGCAATTCTTCTTCATAGTATGAGTCAGGACCTGGAGCATCTCGAAACCGCAGGGTACAATGTTGTTGTGTTTCAGGTTGTTCATCATGCGGAATTGTGGGCTTTCCAATTTGTAGTTCCGTGTAAACATCAGGATGTATATGTAAATTTTACCAGTATTGTGGAACTCCCCCCTTGGGAAGGGGCAGAAGAGTGGCCGGATTCAGAGTTTAACATCGTTGCAGAGTAACACTGTCGGGTAAAAGAAGAGAAGTTTGAAGGCGAAGGACTTGGTTCAGAATGGCAGCAATGTCATGTAGAGCCAGAACAGTCAGTTTATGTCCAAGAACGAAATCATTAGTTTTATCCAAGAGGGCACTTGCAGCAAAGACAGCACGCAAACAGGAAGGACCCCCTCTGGCTACGGGGTCAAGCATGCAGGAAAAGTATCCTATGGGGCGTTGACGGGGCCCATAAGATTGAGTAAGGCATGGCCCATCTTCTCAGAGACAAACAGTTTAAATGGCAACTCGTAGTTAGGGAGGCCCAAAGCAGGGGCTGAAGAGATTGCCCTTTGTAGAGCAAAGTAGCAACTGAAGGCTGTTGAGGACAATGTGAAAGGTTCAGTCTTCAAGGCGTTGTAGAGGGGTTGCATGAGTTGAGAGGCCTCAGGGATCCAAGATCTGCAGTATGTGATGAGGCCTAGGAAGGCGTGGAGGGCCTGGTGAGTAGATGGAAGGGGAAGATTGGTGATGGCACGAACTCTGTCTCTTGTCAGATGACGGGTGCCATGGGAAAGACAATGTCCCAAGAAGACCACTGTGGGCCGCACCATTATAGTTTAGCTTTGGAGGCTTTGCAACCCTCTTCTGCGAGGAAACAGAGAAGATCCACTGAATGGCGTTCAGCTGTTGGAAAGTCATCTGCACAGAGCAGTAAATCATCAACATACTGGAGCAGGACCACATCTGGTGAGATTTCTGCCAGGGTTCTAGTACAGTAGACATTGCTTTGGCAAATTGTGTTGGAGAATTTTGTGCACCTTGAGGCATAAAACAGTCCATGAATATTGCTGGCGGTCATGTGTGAAAGCGAATAAATACTGACATGAGGGATCCAGAGGCACACTGAAGAAGGCGTTTGCAATATCAACCACTGTGAAGAATTTAGCAGTTGAAGGCACTTGTGATAACAATGTATGCGGATTTGGAACGACAGCTGTGTACCGTTTAGTAACCTCATTGACAACACGGAGATCCTGAACCATGCGATATTGGTCTGGTTGGCCTTTCTCAGTTTTCTTCTTTACAGGAAACAGGGGAGTATTGCACTGTGAAACACATTTGATTAACACATTTGATTGCAACTAGACTTTCAACCTACATGGAGATGGCAAGAGCTTGTGCGTGTTTCAAAGGGTACTGTGGTCGCCTTGGCGGGGTAGCTCCTTTGATGAGTATGACTACCACAGGTGGGACTCGGAGACGGCCAATATTATCAGGGCCTGTAGACCAGAGTTTAGTTGGAATGGAATCCAGCGCACTGGGGGCTTCAGGGACCCTTGTTTCCTCTGTGGGGGAAGTCATGTGCATGAGTAGGGGTAGAGAGCAATAGCTGAAGTATCCTTACGAGAAAGTGGGGTAAGTAATTGTACCTGACCCTCGGCAGTGAAAGAGATAGAAGCCTGAAGGCGAGACAGTACATCAGCTCCTAAGAGGTTAATAGAATAGGTGGATGAAACAACGAAACGGGAAAGGATGTTAGAACCAACACGCAAGAGTTTTGTTAATGGGTTATGTCGGAGGGTACCATCAACACCCACACAAGAAACATCGAGGTCAGACAAGTAAGAAGGATCTGGCAGGTCTTGTTCTCTGAGAACACTGCGGGCTACACCTGTGTCAACTAGGAAGGTAGTGGGATGACCCTCAACTGGTAGTACTACGGTAGCTAGGGGCCCCCCTTTATCCCTTGCAGACACTGCCATAACAGGGGTGCCAGACACAGGTTTGCCGGTTACCTACTGTACAAGATCTAGGTGAGACTGATCGGGGCCAGTGTAATGACGTGTAGTAGGGTGACTTGTTTGATGGTTTTGGCAGGGCAGGGCGATAATGAGTAGGTGCTGAGTGGTCAGTCTGCTGAAAGTCATTTGAATCATAAGTATCTGGGGGAGGATGTGTGTTAAATTGACTGGGTTCATAAGTAGCTTGGGTGTAATCCTGCGGTGGGTAATATGGTGCGTGTGGCTGTGGATGTGTCTGTGAAGGGAAACTATGTTGAGGACTCCCATATGTGGTCGTGTGTGTGATGGGGTGCAAAGGAGGTCTGATAGGTGGTGGGCGAGTTACCCGTGGTTGTGGGCAATCCCTGCGGACATGACCTGGTGTGTTACAGTTATAGCAAACCCTGGCTGGATGTCTGAGTGCTGGGGACTGTCCTTGTGTAGCAGGCATAATAGCCAATGTGGGGTGACTCTGGGGCCCCAAGGTGGGTCTGATAGTGGGGCCAGATTTAGAAAACATGAGTGGGTTACTCTTCTTATGTGTAGGCTGTAGAACTGATTCTAAACCCTTTGCTACCAACAAGAGAGTGTCCAAAGGAATAATTCTGTATTCAGGGCGTGCAAGTACTAAACCTTTCCTGATAGTCTCTTTAAGACCAGCCACAAAAGCGACTGACAGCATCTGAGTATGTGCTTTATTATATACACTGAACCCGAGATCAGAAAATGTTTGGGTTAACCTGGAATTATATTATTCCACTGACTCAAGTATATCTTGTATGATATCATTTATGCAAGTTGCCTGGTCAGCTAGTTTATCCTGGGCCCAGGCTTTGAGTTGTTCACAGAAAACAATACCCGACTGAAAATCTGTATCAGTAGTGAGTACAGCATCATTAAAACTCCTTTCCATAATTGACCAATAGATATCCCCAGCCTTGATCTCACACAAACTATACAAATCACACCAAGCTGCTGAGCATGTTTTACGAATCTGAGCAATTCTTCGGAAAAAGGGCATGGGTTGTTTCTCTGGATCGGGGAGGGAGGTTACCAGGGTCACAGCTTGGGATGGGTTAAATGTGACATACATTGGCGGGGCTCCTTCCACTGCTGATGAGGTAGGAAGGTGAGTAGCTGCAATAGTTTGTCTTTGGGTAGGTCTGTTATTTGAGGGACGGAACGGGCTAAGCTCCGGCACATTATCGTCCCCTGGTGGGACTGGGAGACCATGCTAGCTGACAACATCAAGTGAGTTGGGGACCGGGGCCATCGGGGTATTAGAACCGGGAGGGCCAACAGTGATAGTCTGGGGGGTGACTAACTGAGACGTAGTGGGATGGAAACCTAAGGCAGCGGGGGAAGCATCAGCAGCCTGAGGTTGTCCTGATGTGACAGACTCATTTGTCCCAACAATCATGAGCGGATAACTGGGGGTGTTTATCGGAGGGGTAGGAACAGGGACTAGAATGGGTGAAGGTGCGGGTTGGGTAAGCTGAGACAGTGGTTGGAGAGGGAGGAGATGAGTGACGCGAAATCGTGGGTAGAAACACCAGAGTTAGAGGTAGGAGGGGGAGAAGGATCTGAAACAGAAACAGGAGGAGCAGGTTGTGGAGAAGGAGGTGGGGGGGAGGTTCTAACATTGGGACTGTAGAAATGGAAGGGGATGGAACAGTGGGAGTGGAGCCAGGGGCGAGGAGAGTACAGAGGGTGGAGATAAGGGATGGAAGATCACGAGGAGAGGAGAGAGGATCCACTACGGGGGCAGGAGGAATAGGGAGGGGTGGAGGACCAGGAGTGGTATTGGAAGCAAGTGCAACAGTAAGGGCGGAGATGAGTGACGAAAGATCAGGGGGAGGAGAGGGTACGGGTAGAGGAGAAGGTTCTGGAACAGGAGGAGGAGGAATGGAAGGGAGTGGGTAATGGGGAATGGAACCAAGAGAAGTAGCAAGGGCTGAGGTCAGACAGGAGAGATCGGGGGAAGGAGAGGATACAGGAGGTGAAGGCTCTGGAATGGAAACGGGGGGAGTAGAGAGTGAAGCGATGAGAGTTGAAATGAGAGAGGAAAGGTCGGGGGAAGCAGAGGATGCGGGAGGCGGAGAAGGTTCTGGAATGGGAACAGGGGGAATAGTACGGGGCGGAGGAATAGGAGCCAGGGTTGGTGTGAGCGCAGTGGTAAGGGCGGAGACTAGGGAGGAAAGATCAAGAGGGTGTGAGGATGCGGGTGGTAATAAAGGTTCTGGGATGGGTGTAGGAGGAGTAGGAGGAAGTGGAGAAGTAGGAGTGAGGGCATTGGTAAGGGCTGAGACTAGAGGGGCAAGATCAAGAGGTGGTTACAGGGGTGCAAAAGGTTCTGGAATGGGGATAGGAGGAGTAGGAAGGGGTGGAGAAGTAGGAGTGAGGGCAGTGGTGAGGGCTGAGACAAGGGATGAGAGGTCAACAGAGGGAGAAGGAAGGGGACTGGAAATGGGAAGGGGAGAGGAATCTAGGGCAGGAGTCGGAGGGACAGCAGGGAGTGGGGAAATCTTAATAGGAGCGGCAGGAGCAACATTAGGGGGAGGAATCACGGGCACCCCTGGGGACACCAAGGGTGATGGCAATGAGGAAATCGGGGCAGAAGGAATAACAGGAAGGGGGGCCAGTGTAGTCACGGAAGGAACAATGCATACTGGGGGTGTGGGAACAGGGGTTGGGGAAATAGGAGGTACGGTAGTGAGTGTTAAGGAAGAAGCGGCATCAGGGGAAGGGATAGGGAAAGATGATGATGGTAAGGGGGCAACATCAGTAGCGATCTGTGGTAGTGGAGGTGAGGAAACATCAGTAGGGAGAGAGGCTGGGAGTGGGGATGGAACGGAAGTAGCGGATGGTATGGCTGACGGTGATGGGAGAGGGAAAGGGTAATAGTAGGATCCGTCCACACCAAAGACGGGCTACAGAGGGGTGGGAGTAGGAGGCCCTTTGGTAACAGGAGGTGGAACAATTGGGGGCAGAGATGGGGTAGTGTCTGAGGATGCGGGACATGGTTCACTCGTGACATTCTGGGCGCCATCATAGGGTGGTGGTCGGGGAACAACAGTGGATGAATCATCATTACAAACATTTCTGTGATACACAAATACTGTTTGTCCTCCAAAATCAATTTCCTTTTCTGACCATCCCTTCCGTTTGAGACCTCTTGCGACACGATACCAAGCCTCTACTGCTTTTGTCAATCCATTGTCTAGTAATATACCTTCTTTATCAACAAGCAATTTCCTCCAAAACTCTGGTTGTAACCTACCACTGGGTGACATTTGAAAACCACAAACTTTCGCTATCTTTTTCATCTTTAACATAGCTACCTCTCCTGCTCTTTCTTTAACAATGTCACAAGCTAAGAGACCCTTTGAAGGTCTAGCATATTCCTGTCCCATTTTTAACAAACAAGGTTCTCCCTGTAAAAAGGACAGAGATAGGGAGAAGAAAAAGAAGGAATGTCTACAGTGCTCGACTGCCACAAGGAATAAATTCATGTGCGTCTTCCCAAAACGTAGTCACGAGATCCGCCCACCCAAGATGGTGGCCACGGATCAGTACGGGTGAGCGTGGGTGACTAACACAGCTCTGGGCAACAAGTATAGGAGAGATAGAGAATCAGATAGAAAGTGAACGTAGAGAGACTAATCAATAAACATTTACAAGAATCCCAAATACGGACACGTCCACATAATCCGGAGTCGAGTATGAACCACACTAAACACACACACGCAATGAGGGTACCCACACTATGGCCATAACTGAGCAAAAAACAGAGTATAACGAGGAACAATAAAAATGTGAACATAGCAATAATGTTAAACAGCAAATAAACTCTATTCTACTCTGAACAGTACAACACAATGCACAGCCTTTCTCTAGGCTATCCCCAGCCCTTTACCAGGCGGTCGCGTTCCCTGCCCGCTAGGCAGTCAAGCTATAACAATAAATGCGTTCCCTGCCCGCTAGGCAGTCAAGCAATAACAATAAATGCGTTCCCTGCCCGCTAGGCAGTCAAGCTATAACAATTAATGCTTTCCCTGCCCACTAGGCAGTCAAGCTATAACAATAAATACAAATCATACACCAGGTGTCTCACACACACACACACACACACGCAATTTTCAGGAGGTAGATAGACAATCGACAGGTTCGTTAAAAAGGCACCGGATAAGTCTTGTAGCCTTCTGGAAGCCGGAAGTGGACACAGAGACAGACAGACACAAAACAAGAGAATACAGGCAAACCGCTGTATTAGGAGGTGATCATGCTCCGGTTTTCCTACTTTCCGGGGGTCTGCTCCGGTCCCGTTTTCCGAGAACCGGTGCCCCACGTTGGGCGCCAAATGGTGAGGATATCAATCAACAAATTAATTATCTTGTGTATCTGCCCATGGCCAAATTAAAGAAATAGTGCGTGCACGCTCCTGACCAGACACAAGTTTCGGGTTAATGAAAAACTTGAGGAATGTTTAATCGGGGGGTGGGGGGGCATGTGGAGGGAGCCAAAGGCTCGAGTTGCGAAATGTCAGCCTCTAAACCTTAATGAATTAAAGAGAATCTGCAAAGAGGAGTGCGACAAAATCCCTCCTGATATGTGTGCAAACCTGGTGGCCAACTACAAGAAATGTCTGACCTCTGTGATTGCCAACAAGGGTTTTGCCACCATGTACTAATTCGAAGACATCAAATATTTAGCAAAACGTACAAAAAGATGGGGTAGACCGCCAACTCCAAAAGAGGAGGTGGGATCTACTCCAATCCACAGATACCTCCAAATGTAAGTGTGACGGTAGCATATGGTATCACCGTCAAGCATTCCCTTCTTCCCATAAAAGAAAATCACCCAATACTCCACAAGTAGGAATATCCCTGGAATTGCCGAATAATCCACACATGAGCCAAGGCTTAATGCTGGAACAAGACTTATTTACTGGAACACAGGACTCACAATTTATGCAATACTAAACTCCTCCTCTGGGCCAGGCTAGATAATTGAGTTTCTACAATACACAAAGCTCAATTATCTGCTGGCCAGAAACATTACAATTTTTAACAATTTCAGAAACATACTTTTTACAAAACATACAAATATAATTTTAACATCCCTGGGTAGCGGAGGATACTGGTAGTTCCATATCCAAATCTCACAAATTTCCGTTCGGTAGTTTCCGTGTCACATCGTGTGGCAGTTTGACCGGCTCGCCATGTGGAGGTATCCGAGTTAGAGTTCCATAGAATCAGTAGCCGGTCTCCGTTAGCCGGTCTCCGTTCGCATCTAACTACACGAAAACCACCGTTCGTATGGTTCAGCTGGTTACCTACAAATGTTCCCCTCGTTCGGTAGATTCTATCTACCGCATACAAACAATAGGATAAGTGGCGCTCAACCAAAATAAATAAATAAACAAATCCCAGTGCGTCTATAACCAAACCAGTGTTTTAGTCACCTTAAAACACTTACATTAATATAAATGGATACAAGGAAAGGTGGTTTTGCGCACACAATGGATGCTTGATGAGATAATCTGCAATATAGACAGCTATCATAGGGCAATATGCATAAACCAATAACTGGTATAGAAAATAATTAGGAGCACTCACACTTTAGAGAGCCATATGAGTCGGCTCTCTACTGTAGTGGCATGTAGAATACTCTGTAGTTGGAATGGTCCCCCAGGAACTCAAGTCTGGATACAATCAGGAACCAAAAAATAAAACTTAAATAAAATGTGTTATTTTGTAATAATAAAACTGGATAAGCACAACGCGTTTCGACCATTAAAAGAGGTCTTCCTCAGGTGCAATGATAAAACAAACATTCAGTATACTTTTATACTTAAATAAATTACAAAATAGCACACACATGTAAAGAAATTACAAACCACACCCACCCAGACCAATATATGGGAATTCCGGTTCCCATTCCCCTCCCAACATGGAGCCCTTGCATTATAAGTTCACACAGGACGACCTTTTCAAGATGGTAGCTTAGTTTAGATGCTTGCCGTCCTATTTCGTGACTTCCGGTATTTTCCCGGAACGTCACTTCCTTTTTCGCCACTTCCGGTTCGCGGCATGTCTATTATTTACTTCCGGTTCGCGGTTTATTTTCGTTTTCGGCAATATTAGGAGAAATGTCACTTCCGGGTTTCATCACACAGGGGGAGGAGTGACCAGCCTCCCTCTGATTAACATAAAGAGCCACTCCTCAAAGTCCATATCCATTAATCCCGTAACGCACAAAACAGAGAAGGAGTAAAAAAAGGGTGAATTAATATATATTTACAAAAAACACATTAAAACAGAGGTAAACAAATAAATAGAATACCAATAAAAATTAATATAAAAGTTCATTAATAAAAGTCTTCCTCTATAAAAGGTATATCGACGATATTTTTATGGTATGGAAAGGAACAGAGAACAGTTTTAATGAATTTTTTAAGTATCTTAATCAAAACGATTGGGGGATAAAATTGACTAAGAGTATTAGCTCTGTCTCCATAGATTTTTTAGATCTTAACATTTTTGTTAGATTTTTTAGATCTTAACCAGCTTAAAACTAAAACCTTTTTCAAACAGGTGGATATAAATAGTTTTATAGAGATTAACAGTTGTCATTATGATCCCTGGCTGAGCAATATACCAAAGGGGCAGTTTCTACGTTTGAAACAAAACTGCACAGACCAGAAGGATTTTAATGAACAATCAGAGATTTTAAAACAACAGTTTATACAAAAAGGGTATAAAGAGGATATACTTCTACAGAATTTCAGAACTATCACAAGATCTGATTTACTGAAGTATAAAGATAAACAGGAGAAACCAAAAACAAGTAAAATCCCTTTTATCTTTAATTATTCCAGTAATACAGGAATCCTTAAAAAGACTATTAACAAAAATTGGCATATTCTCCAACAAGAGCATATCATCAAGGAATTCTTAGGAGAAAAACCCAAGTTTATATTTAGGGGTGCAAGGAATTTGAAGCAAATCCTTACATCTAACCATATACGCGAAGAAGAAAAATCCACATTTTTGGATGATTGGTCTAAAACACAAAAAAGGTTTCTTTCATTGTGGGTGTTGTAACGCCTGCAAAAATACTTCTGTTTTTAAAAAAAAAAGAAAGATACATTCATATCATCTATAACTAACAAACAATATTCCTTATCCTCTTTTGTGAATCGTGTGAATCGAAAAACGTCATTTATCTCTTAAACTGTAAATGTGGTTTGCAGTATGTAGGTAAAACCTCAAGATCTTTAAAAATCCGTATAAATGAACATATTAGAAATATAAGAAAAGGCTTTCCAAACCACAGTGTTTCTAAACATTTTCTAGAAATGCATCAATCCAACCCTAGAGTTTTAGAATATATGGCCATTCAAAAAGTTGCCAGTAACTGGAGAGGCGGAGACAGTGCCCTTAACCTGAGCAGAAAAGAAAGTACCTGGATTTTTGATCTACAGACACTTTATCCTAAAGGGTTAAATTTAGATTTTGATATTGGTCCTATTTTATAATCATATTTTGTGCTCTTTTTTTTTAAATCATTTTTGAGGTTTTTATTAATATTATGTGCTATTCATTATATATTATGTTCTTTTTTTATATATATATATTATCCATCTCTTTCCCTGGTAAAACATAGTGAAAGACTTTTATTAATGAACTTTTATATTAATTTTTATTGGTATTCTATTTATTTGTTTACCTCTGTTTTAACGTGTTTTTTGTAAATATATATTAATTCACCCTTTTTTAACTCCCTCTCTGTTTTGTGCGTTATGGGATTAATGGATATGGACTTTGAGGAGTGGCTCCTTCTGTTAATCAGAGGGAGGCTGGTCACTCCTCCCCCTGTGTGATGAAACCCGGAAGTGACATTTCTCCTAATATTGCCGAAAACAAAAATAAACCGCGAACCAGAAGTAAATAATAGACGTGCCGCGAACCGGAAGTGACGAAAACGGAAGTGACGTTCCGGCAAAATACCGGAAGTCACGAAATAGGACGGCAAGCATCTAAACTAAGCTACCATCTTGAAAAGGTCATCCTGTATTAACTTATAATGCAAGGACTCCATGTTGGTTGGGGAATGGGAACCGGAATTCCCATATATGGGTCTGGGTGGGTGTGGTTTGTAATTTCTTTACATGTGTGTGCTATTTTGTAATTTATTTAGGTATAAAAGTATACTGAATGTTTGTTTTATCATTGCACCTGAGGAAGACCTCTTTTAATGGTCGAAACGCGTTGTGCTTATCCAGTTTTTTATTTCAAAATAAAACATTTTATTTAAGTTTTATTTTTTGGTTCCTGATTGTATCCAGACTTGAGTTCCTGGGGGACCATTCCAACTACAGAGTATTCTACATGCCACTACAGTAGAGAGCTGACTCATATGGCTCTCTAAAGTGTGAGTGCTCCTAATTATTTTCTATACCAGTTATTGGTTTATGCATATTGCCCTATGATAGCTGTCTATATTGCAGATTATCTCATCACTTTTCCATTGTGTGCGCGTAAACCACCTTTCCTTGTATCTATCTACCAAATGCCAGTTGGATTCGTGTAAGGGAACGTATACATCCAGGACTTCCATGAAGACCGGGCGTTCACATGTTTGCCTTGACGAAAATAGTTCCAGGCAATTCATGCGTACGCCCGCTGACCGCGTTCGTGAGTTTTAAGATGGCCGCCATCCTTTGTTCTCGCCACGTGTTCGTATGCCGAATGGCGGCCACCCAGGAGCAATTAAGTTGTGGTTTTCTCCCCGTTCTACTGCTGATTGCTACCCAGGGTAGGTGGTCTCTCGTTCGGTAAACGAACACAAGCCTTCACATACAAAACCAAACGAACTGAATACAAGCATTTAAACAGCAGGGAGAGGACATAACTGAAGGCACACGGGTAAGTACAAGAGATCCTTCACAGTAAGTATAGCTAAAAAATGGTGGGAACCTTTACTGACAATCAAAAAAAAAAAATATATATATATATACATATATATATATATATATAAATTAAATTAAACTGAAGGCAAAATTGCTAGATACTCAAACGAACTCCAAAAAAACAACATGTAGCAATCATGAGAAAAGTGAAAACTTCACCTAGTTAAAATACCCGGTAACTAATGTAATGAAGACAAATCATAGGTAATTAGGGGCTAAACGTAGCTCATAGTATATGGGCCTTAATAGATCCCCAAGTAACGTCACGTTAACCCCAGACACCTGATGGTACCGTTGGAAACACCTCTAAAGATAGTGAGGACCCAACCCAATAGCCAAACACAAAAATCCCAGTAACTGTAAAGGAGGTAGAAGTCACTGGATAGGTTCCTATGGGTACTGGTCTACTTATTTAAATCAGTCGCAGAGGCGGTAGCTAGTGGACCTTACTAAGTATAAGTGGTATACTGAAGTGGCTGCTAGTGGCTGGGTGCAGAACTCAGTTGATCCATAGAAGTGAACAAAATTGTAAAAAGGGGACGGACTTCCCCCCCCTAGTACATACCAAATTGCACCAGTGAAACCCATATAGGGGTAAAATGCCCTGAATGAAATAGCCTAGAGACACTGCACTCTGGTCACTAACTGAACTTAAAAATGGCTAAGCTACCTGCTGCTTCGAGGCAGCCTCAAGCTATCCCTCATAAGTAGCACAGAGGAGCACAGTCCACTAACTTTGTTAGGTACACATAAGTACAGGCATCATGGTAACCCAGTTAAATATAAAAAATAAAGAAAAAAGAAATAGTTCTAGCAAATAATAGGCATCGGCATGGTACAGCTCGAAGCACGTTTCGGCATACGCCTTTGTCGAGAGCAAGCCGGTAAATGAGAGGAAGACTCCTTGTAAAGGGACAGAGGGAGACCACTCCCCTTGTCAGCGTCCAATACGGACTGGTGGGTGGATCAGGAGGCAAGACGGGGCGTGTTTAAGTTCCCTCTCCCCGCCCATACTGCCAATCAAATGGCGGTAATGAACCACCCCTAAAATAGTCATTTTCAAGCAGAGTGTTTCCAGTTGAGCTATTTTTTTGAATACTTTTAATTCACTATAACGGAATTATAAATAAGTGTAGAATCTGCATTTGGCCACAGCAATAGGCAACATGCACAACATCAGCTAGAGCACAAGATTGCACCCACATCACTTTTCACTTTCCCCTAAAAATGAATCCTGGAGACTTCACTGGGAGCTAGACATGATAGCAGGAGTATGGGGAAGGAGGAGACAGGCAGGACAGCAGGTTAATGGGGAAGGGGGAGCCAGGCAGGACAGCAGGAGAATGGGGAAAGGAGGAGCCAGGCAGGACAGCAGGAGAATGGGAAAGGAGGAGCCAGACAAGACAGCAGGAGAATGGGGAAAAAGGATTCAGGCAAGACAGCTGGAGGATGGGGAAAAAGGAGCCAGGCAAGACAGCAGGTGGATGGGGAAAATGGAGACAGCAGGAGGATGGGGAAAAAGAAGCCAGGCAGGACAGAAGGAGGATGGGGAAAAATTATTCAGGCAAGACAGCAGGGGGATGGGGGAAAAGGAGACAGCAGGAGGATGGGGAAAAATGATTCAGGCAAGACAGCAGGAGGATGGGGAAAAAGGAGCCAGGCAGGAAAGCTAGAGGATGGGAAAGGAGGAGCCAGGCAGGACAGCAGGAGGATGGGAAAGGAGGAGCCAGGCAGGAAAGCAAGAGGATGGGGAAGGAGGAGCCAGGCAGGAAAGCAGAAGGATGGGGAAGGAGGAGCCAGGTAGGACAACAGGGAGATGGAGAAAAAGGAGTCAGGCAGGACAGCAGCAGGATGGGGAAAAAGGAGCCAGGCAGGACAGCAGGGGGATGGAAAAGGAGGAGCCAGCCAGGACAGCAGCAGGATGGAAAAGGAGGAGCCAGACAGGACAGCAGGAGGATGGGGAAGGAAGAGCCAGGCAGGAAAGCAAGAGGATGGGAATGGAGGAGCCCGACAGGACAACAGGGAGATGGAGAAAAATGAGCCAGGCATGATATCAGGAGGATGGAAAGAAGGAGCATGGCAGTAGAGCAGATGGGTGTGAAGGAGGAGCCAGTCACAAT